AATATTTTTACTTGCCCCATCGCTGTCACCTGGGAGAGGAGCTGCCACTGGGACACAGCAGTCTTTTCCAGGACCATTGGAGAGTGACTCTGCTGTTTTATTAAACAGCCTTCCTGAGAGCAAAAGCTCAATTGCCACCGAGCACATGCTACCTACTGGTCTTGGCAGATTCTACCTAAGGAGACATGCCACCAGTGTAAGGAGAGGTGCTACAAGCAGAAGAGTATGCATATGTTGATATGAAAAAAAAATATTTTTATTAAAGGCAGACTTTAAATACAAAGCCAAAAGCATACAGACGGGTAGTTTTACTGATGCAATGATTTTGATAGAGGCAAATTTATGAGATGACATGTTTTTTGTTGAAGTAAAAAATATGAGTGATAAATAAGAAATTACTATCAGGAATAAAACCCAAGTTCCCAGTTTGGATACTGGGGACCTTTACCATGAAACCAAAAGAAGGATAGAAATTGTCATGCCCAATTAAAAGAGCCTCCTACTGCTTGTGTTTAATGTTAAAAAATCGTGATACATCCACAGGGAGACAGCTGTTAGATGCTGAGATACTGTTACTGACCTCAGTAGGAAAGGTTAACATGTACCATGAACCTGAATATCATCATGTGCTCGTGATAATGAAAGCCACATGGCACAATCAATGCTTCAAGGAGGTTTAATTTTAATGAAAGATCTGAAAGGCTCAGGACAGAGCCCTGAGGCTCACTGACACTCAGAGAACTTACAACTGAAAAAAGCTTGATCAGCACTGGAACTGAAAGGGTGGTTAGAGAGTAACCAAATCTCATTTCAGCCCACCGAGCTTCTCAGGCAACAACTGTTGAAGTGATGCCAAAGGCAGCTGCTCAGCTGAAAAAACCTGAAGAAAATCTGAGGAATGTCACTCAAGATCCTTGTTCCTTACAACAACTGTCCAAAAAATACAACTGCACCTTGTTATACGCTAAACAACTGGTCAGTTTGAGACAGCATATGCTAAAAGATGTGTGGAAGGAAAGACCATAAAAAATAAGTGTAAATTTTAATGAACTATAGGAGCTACTAAAGAATTGGTTCCAGTCCTAATGGAAGCTTCATATGAATCCAGAATGACTCACTGAACTAATAAAACGGAGAGTTTTCAACATGGTTTCCTTCTCTAAGAGTCAAATCTCTTAAATTATGCCCATTGAGCATGAATAAAAAAGTCCTTTCCAACACTAACAATTAATTCTCTAGCTGTTGGTCCCTTACCTGACCAAAGCACACATTACATTGTGTTACTGACAGACAATAAATGCATGGACATAGTAGTTCTGGTTTGAACACTATTGCAGACCCCTACTAGGAACACTTCTGGTGTGTTTAGTTCTATGTAAAGAGTTGCATAATTTAAGTCATGCACATTGTGTTGCATTCCTGAATATTCAAAAGGTCAATCAACTTTTTCTTCTGCTGAGGCCTATTTCTATGACTGTGCTGTTCAACTCTGTCAATAAGATTTTTTAAAGGCTCTGAGGTCAGTAGAAAGCAAGGCTGAGCTACACAATTTAAAAAGGGGTGTATATGGTACAGTCATTTGCAGACAAGGAAATTACTAATTTGACTGGATTTTAATTTCAGTTCACTAGAATCTCTCAGATACAATATTTTCTGTCAATGACTTAAAGATCATGACAAACTGTAAGAAATTTGCTTCAGAAATACAATTTCAGTATTTCGGATAGGATACAAGAATCTCTGTAAATCTCAGAATCCCAAAATAGAAATAAAAAATAGCACGAGTCCTTGGATATACTGTTCACTAATTAACAACCATCCTGTTTTGGAGAACATAAGAGGCAATTACAAATTTGTGTTAGACTTGCCATATATATTTTCCATGGATAAATTTAATAGGTAAGATTTTTGTAAATTACTGGTGCTGTGCATCTGTTGTCTTTGTTCACTTGCTACTTAAGGTTTTGGGGTTTTTTTTTACCCTGAACAACTGAGAAAACACAGATGAGATATTTTTCTTATACATGTAAACCAGTAAGGAGTCTTTCAGAAAAAAATCTTAGATAATAACAATAAGAAAGAGTTTTCACAGAGTTTTAATGTAACCTTAAATTCCTAGAATGTGGTGGTGACTGGATTGGTAACACCGACTGTCTCATCATTACACCATTTGTACACCATTATATTACATGATAAGAAACAACTACAAGCAAACCCTGCAGTTTGGCTTTCCTGACTGCATGACAGCCCAGTTTCTACAGAAAAGGCGATGAGGGGTCCCCTTCTCTCCAGGATCCAGTGGATAGGGTGGTCTCATTAGATGTGCCAGCTGCTCAAACAGGCAATAATGGCAATTCCAGAGCCTTCAGTTGGCTGTAAAAGCCACATAAACACCACTCTAGTTTTTCAAAGGAAGGAAATTATTTCAGGCACTAAATGCCATTTTCCCAAGACACCTATTACAGAAGTAGCTCCTTAGGCAAATACAGGCACTGATGCTCTGCCAGACAGGTCTGTCTTTGGTACCACAGCACTGGCAGTGACAAACTCCTGTCTGAAAGCATAATGTGTTCCCATACAGGGTCTAAAGTCCCTTCAGGCCTCTAAATGAGCTCTGTAAATTTGGCTCTGGGCTTTTGGGCACTGTGGTAACTCCTGCCCCATCACCGTGGGTCCCAAGCTGAATGCCTTATCTGATGTTTCTTCACGTGCACGGCATGCATATGCAGGTACATGCATGTGTTATCATTTATTTGATCACTTATTTATATGCAAAAGTATCTTCAATATAACTATATTATTAACCTACTCTTCATGCATTTTGTATAGGCAAAAGAGCAAGGACAAGACTTGGAGCAATGTTTCAAACAGGTTAGCTTGAGTCTGTTTCTCTGTAAGCATACATAAAATATAAGATGGCGTGACATAAAAATGTCAACAGTTTTAGACAGAGGGGTTTGTCAGATGACCAGAGTGGAGACTGAACTAGCTATGAAGGACATGTGCAACTAGCAAAGGCAGCCAAAAGACGCAGCACTTGTTGCAGCAGATGGTGCAGAAGAGTGCAAGAGATGAGGACAGAAGCCCTGCACACGTGCTTGGTGATGGTGATGGCATGGCACAAGGCACGGTCCCAGCACTCATGGGATCAACTCCCCAGGCATAGCAGAGACCTGGACTCAGAGCAAGCTTCCGCAGAAGGATGGAGGTCCAGAGCACTAAAGGGTGCCCTGTGTCTCCCACTGGGGCCGGGGCAGAGGAAGTTCTTACATGCAGCCCATGGGCATGGGGAAAGGCTCTAAGTCAACAGGGAAAGGAGCTGCAAGAAGATATCAGCAGGATGTGTGGCCTCAGGGATGATGAAAAAAGGGGAAATGGTAGGCTGGCTTTTCTAAGCAAAAGATACAGGGTGATGTGCATAAGTTAGACTTTGTAATCAACAAATCGGGGCTCTGGAGTTCCAGCTCAAACATATGCCTGTCGATAAAGACATGCCAGGAGGACAGCAAAAATATATGAACTATATAAATGAACAGAGAAGTGGATTAAAAAGTGGCTGAACTGTCAGACTCAGATGGTTGTGACCAGCAGCACAAAGTCCAGCAGAAGGCTGGTCACAGGGTCTTGTGTGTCACAGAATCAGCCACAATTAGTGCAAGTGCCTATTTAGTACCCTCAGTAGTGTCCTGGATGTTGGGAGGGAGTGCACTCAAAGCAAGTTTGCAGGTGCATGCCACAAAACTGGGACAAGTGACTAATATCCTAGATTGGTGTGCTGGCATTCAGGCATCCTCCTCAGGCAGGTTAAATAGGCGAGGGGTCACCACAAAGACCAATGCAAAGTCCTGGGGAGGAATAACATCAGGGACTTGGAGGCCAAGTGGCTGGGAAGGATCTCGGAAGAGGAGGACCTGGGTGATCTGGTGAACATCAAGCTGACCACAGTCAGCATGGCAAAGAAGCTAAACAGCATCCTGGGCAGCTGTAGGCAAAGTGTCACCACCAGGTAAAGGAAGATGATCCTTCACCTATACTCAGCCCTGGTGAGACACCTTTGGAATGTCAGGTTTTGTTCTGGGCTCCTCTGTATAAGGGATGCATGGAGTTTCTGGAGTGAGCCCAGAAAAGGGCTCACTTTGTGGCTAAGATTGGCATCATCCATTTGAGGAATTCTTGAGAACTGGAATTAATGGTCTTAAAGGTCTTTTCCAGCCAAAAAAATTTCCATGATTCTATGATTTTATTCAGCTTGGAGATGAGAAAGCTGAGGAATCTTGTCCTTATATGTAAATACCAGGTGGGGAATAAAGAAGTAGGAGTCAGACTCTGCTTGGTGATGCCCAGTGACAAAAGAGGCAGCTTGTAGCACAAGCTACAGCACAGGAAGTCCTGTAGAAAGGTAAGAAAATACTTTCTTCCTCTGGATGTCATCTGAGACTGACACAGTTTTCCCAGAGAGGCTGTGGAGACATTCAAATCGTGACTGGACATGGCCTGGCAGACTCTGCTCTGAGCAGAATGGTTGGATAAGATGATTCCCAAAGCTCCATTTCAAACACCATTGCTCTGATGTGCTTACTTAAGTCAAATGAAGCTATTTTTTAGACATGTGGTCATTGAAAAAATGTCTGCAAGAAAGCCTTATGACACATGGCATTGATTTTGAACTTATCATACCTGTGTAGGCTGATGTATGTCTTTTTTTTTCGCAGTGTACCCATGCATAAATTGCTGCAAACAGGAAATTCTGATATGCTCACAAATAATGCAAACACACATAGTCATGCCTTTACACATTTATTAGCTAAATAATTCATAAATTGTCTAAGAAAATGGAGCTCAAGCCTTCTTTTGTGTCACTTTCCAATGATAAATAAAAATATATGCTAGCAATAATGAAGGATCATTCAACAAATGATACCTGATAATTATCTCTGCTGCAGCAGTTTTTTTGTTTTTGTTTTTTTGGGTTTTTTTTGTTTGTTTGTTTTTTTGTTGTTTTTTTTTTTTGCCAAATCTGAGTGATAGTAAAAGGTGCATTTTTGCATATTAAATATTTTCTTCTTCAGTGAGAGATTCCAGTCAATACCCCATACAGGGGTTATGGAAAAAAAAAAAAAAAAGAAAAATATCTCATGACATTTTTTAAGGGATACCAAGCAATCCAATCTCACTAGGAAGGGATTTCACCACCAGCTAAGAAAGTTTTCATTTTTGGGTCAGCTCGTTTGCAGCTGAGGGCTTTTAATATTTCAGCTGAGTTCACCAGACAATGTGTTACGACAGTCTTAAACAATTACGAGAAGGAATGCAGGAACAGTCAAAGCATCTGTTTTTCAGCACTTATATACATAAGGGCTTTCTGAAAAACACAGGTATCTGGAACCCTGAACTCTTACTGCAGTGTGAAGGAGAGAGAAGTAGAGACCATGGTTTTATCTCCTCTTTGTATCCCATTTGCTATTTATTTACAATTTCATCTCTTATATAGTATTTTTGGTTATAGCCTGTGCTCAGTTCATTTTATTTGCTTCTTCTGTGTTGCAAGTACTTTTTTATTTCTTGCTTCTCCTTCCCATTGTCTCAACCTGTTTTAAAGCTAGGAACTAGCTAAATTTCTGATTTTTACCTGGTTCTGATGCAACATCTATAAATTTTTGACCATGACTTTGAAAGCTTGCTGTGACCCTTCTCTTCCTGCAGCGGAAGGGGTGATTCAGAAACAGACTGAAAGCTGCTCTCTGCCCAGGTATGTGTCCACAGTCTCTGTATGATGTCGAGACACTTGCTGTAATTGGGGATCTCCAGCATAAAGACCAACACAATAAAAAATTTACTATAAAAGTATTTGGGGGGAAAAAATGAATACTTAAAAACTTCTTTGAAAAGGGAGTCCTGTGGGATAACAGAACAAAGAGACTGAGGAAGGATGAAGAAAACATGTCTGTGGAGAACAGGAGTGCCTGCAGGGACATGTTTTAAGGAGGAAGATATGTGAGTGGAGTAGGAACTAACAAAAAATTATTCCCATCTGCCTTTCATCTGGTCGCAAAGAAAGGTCGAAGATATATTCTTTGGCACATTGTTAGACAAAAAGTAACTCAAAATTAGAGGTGAAAATTATGGCAGATTTACAACGTAGTTATTAAAAAACTCAATCAAAGCTGTGAAGAGCCACAAGGTAACAAAGAAGGGCAGCCATTGCTGACAGCAGTTGGATTTACTTTTGTTATGCTGTAGAAAGAAATGCCTCTTGTTCCTGAACACAAGGCAGAATTTTTTACTTCCCTGTGACCTGTAGCTTAGCTCAAAGGAAGAATTCAGGGTTGTTTCACAATAATTTCAATGAAGATCTCTAACTTGCTAAAAATATCCTTTCAAAATAACAAAAAGGTGTAAAATGTCAAGGAAATGTTAAAAAAGCTTTGGAGTTAAAAATGTAGTTTTAATTCCTTTTTATGTCAATAGAGAGGAATAAAGATGACTATCAGCTAAAGTTACCTAGAAGGCTAATTGTCTCCTGAAATCACACAAAGAAAACCATTTTACATATTGCAAAATTCTGGCATGTTCTTTTGGCATCCTGTCATTTGTTCTGATATCCAAACAATGTACCAGCCTAATTTGGTTTTGTTATGTTTTTTGATGCAAATATAAAAACAATGGACCAGGACTTCAGTCTTTCATGCTGAGGCTGAATTATTTTTTGTTTCATGCCAATTTCTGCAGGATGTCCAAGGAAGCTGGGTGGAGAACAGCCCTGTTCTGGGACTGATACTCCTGATCCAAGCTGCCCATGAGAACAGGCCCAGTTATCCTGCCAGAAGCAGGGTTCTTTGTGTGGTCCCAGGAAACACTGATTCCCAGCCCAATTCTTCATCCCTTCTGCAGCTCTTTAAACCTCCAACACTCATTGCATAACTCCAAGCAGGGACACAGCAGTCCTGCCAGTCTTGGTATTGCCTTGCTACATAACCCACCACAAAGTGGGGAGATCTCAGTTCCCTGGGTCTGCTGTCTATCCTGAAGGTGAACACAGCTTTTGCTGGGAACACCAATGCCTTTCTGTGCACATTCCATAGCTGGCTGTTAGGACAATAAATAAACACTTCTTCCCTTCTGATTTTTGGCACTGTGATAACTAGGGATACAGCACATAGAAATGAGAAACTGTGGACTGTAGGGAGCTCTATGCATGACACATTTGTGTAAAAGCTGTCTTTGTCCCTGAAATTCTGTCAGTCTATCTATCTGTCTGTCTTTCTGTCTTTATCTGACTGTATCTATAATCTGTATTTTCATGTCTCCTTAAGTATGGCATGACCAACAACCAGTAGAGACCAGTTACAACAGATATGCAAAGACTGAATGTCCTTGAATTAAACCAAAGATCAACCTGCAAAGAACTCTCAACTTATTTTGCAGAAGAAGTAAACTAAATGTGACAGGAACTCACAGGAGTAGAAAACTTCCAGTTGGTCTGGTAGGTATTAAGCACCTCACTACCCCAGCATAATGAAACTCCATTAAACAAAATGAAACTCTAGAAGCCCCATGGATTATGTGAGCTGCCTTCTACAAAGCAGATTTGTATTCTCCCTGACTGGTGAAAGCCAGTGGAAACACTACTGTCTGCTGCTAATGGAAATTATCAACGTCTCCTCCAAAGAAGCTTGTTTGTCAGGCTCCCTGAAAACAGGCCCCATTTCAAAAAGAATAAGGAAGTTAGAAAAGCCACATCCCACATTTCCCTGCCCCCAGTCTGGGAAAACTGATGAGTGGCAGGGAATGCAAAGCACATGACATCTGCCATCATACTTTGTAACTGGCATAACTTGGTCCTCAAGGAACTATAATATTATTGAGGACCATGACATCCTAAAGTTCCTATTGTTTGGCTTTCTGCAGCTTCAGAACAGCAGAGCATGAGTTACAGAGTCACCATACCTGGAGTAATTGTCATTGGTGTGGTTTCAATTTTAATTTACTTAACAAAAGCCAGTGATACATGATATAAAACAGTCTTTCTAGACTAAATGCTTTTTTCATCTTTTCAAAATATAAAGAGATAATTTGGGACTGCAGAGGGTATAAAATGATGTCAGACCCACATAAGGCTGATAATGATTTGATATAGCCAGCACCATCCTAAGATTGCTTTTCTTTCAGAGAAATTTAGAGATTTAGAAAAATCCAGAGATTCAAATCTAGACATTTAGGAAAAGTCAGTGAATCAGATTATCCATGCCAGACTTCAATAATGTTATCTGGAAAAAAAAAATGTTATTAGCTAAATATCAGACTCTTCTGTTTATGAAGCTGGATAGAAGCAGATGTATTTGACGTTTGTCTGGACAATTGATGTCAGCATACAAAATGCATTGTTTTAATCACCAGGAATGAAATTAATACCTTCTAGTTTAGGATGATCCAAAATAAAGTTGTGAGTTTAGCTAATCATCCAGATTCCTGTATTCTGTGGAGATTTATAGGCATTCATGAAAAGTGATTCATTCTACCCTGGATATTCAGTAGCAGTTGGAATAATCACTCTTTAGAGGTGTCTGTCCTTTTCCCTTGGCTATAGCAGAATGCTAAGTGCTAGTTTAGGTTAAATGATTAGCATTTAATTGGAAGGCAAGATTAATCCCTGTTCATTTTAAAAATTCCCTGGCTGCAACAGGCTTACTCCTGTCCCATGAATTTGGTAACATACTTTACTGTTGCCTAGAGGTAGAAATTAAGTGTGTTTGAAGCGATGGAACACAAAGACAGATTTCTGCCTAGTGCTAAGTTACCTGAAACACATTAACCCTTTATCCCAACTTTCTCCTGGGTTCCAGTTTGCAGAGATGATTGGTTTGAAACCTGGATTTTACTTTTCAGTGTTGACAATTAGCTGGGTCTTACAGAAATGCAAAGATTGCCAAGGCAGAGGCCCTAAGAGACATGAACCTTTTATTTTCTTGGATTCTGTTACTCAGGGGCTTCATGTGGAGAAGGATTTTCCTGATGTGGATTTTCTTGCTTTTTCAGAGCATAAGGCTGAGCCACAGACATTAAAGCCATGACTTATCTTGCAGAATTCGGATTAAATATTATCCTAGATTGAGACAAGACTTTAAAAATTATGAAACAGTCAGATGCCTGATCCAGAATATGATACAAAAATGGATGCATATCACTCCATCTTCTGCTTCTAGCTTTTTCTTCCTTCCACTCTTCCCTTTCATTTTTAGCTCATGCACAATTCTCAGAGTACTTTAACAATTCTGAATTTTCTCCCAAATTCTTCTTCCAGTGACAATCCTTCCTAATTTTCTTCTACAAATCTGGTGCTTCCCACCATCATTATATAGCAGCAAAAGAAGTGAATCACTGACCCTTCCTAGGGGAGAGTAATATAACACAGCTTCAGGTTTCTATTACTGAGTTTTATAACAGTAATAAGGTAAGAATTTACTGCTGACCTGATATGCAGGAACAAAATCTTGCCACTTAATAAAGCTATCAAACATTTTAGATTTTTCCCATGTAAGAGATCAGAATTACAACAATACCTAAATTTCCCTGGCACTAAAGGATAGCATTTAATGCCATTATACAGAACCATATAGTTTGTCCATAGATTTTTTAATCCTGGAAGATACTGTGTCTGGAAAGTGGTTTTACTGCAATTTAATACATCCTAGATATTGCCATCAATGATTAAATATCATTCTATCAACAGTGCTTGTTAGGGAAAAACACCTGGTGTCTATGCAGCAAAGGTTATCATATTTCCCTTTCACAGTAGACGTTTTCAGTCTTAACAATGGACTAGCCTCTTATATCTGAGATTAAACCTGAGAATATGACAAGCAGAGCAAGGTGCTCCTCTGTTTATTGAATTATCTGGTGATTTAAACAGGAAGGGAAAAAGATAATTCTCCCCCCAAAATTTCTTTTATTTTCCCCAGAAATCGTATGTATAATGCAAAGTTCTAAAAACATTATTCTTCTAAAGATTTTTCCACTTCCATTTTTCAGGTATACCTGCCTCTCCAAAGGAAATAATTTTTAATTTGTTTAAATCTTGAACTTTGTGTTTTCACATGCAGCTGAAATTAGATAAATTAAAAGTAGAATTAAGGTAAGACTTATTTTCCAAAACCATTATTCTGTTACATTAATCACTGGAACAATTTCAATATAAAGACTCTCCTACTGAAACATTTTATACCACCTCTAACTGGTCCAGAGAAACTATTAAAAAAAAAAGAAAAAGAAAAAAATATTAGCCTTCTTTAATTTAAACAGCTTCACAATGAAAATTGTGAGATTCATAGTAACTAGAAGACATTTAAGAATGGTTATAATGTTCTAGCTGTTCATTGATCAAGAATCATGGCAATCACACGCCTTTCTAGTTTTTAGCATTAAGCTATCCTCAAACAAACTTTGAATAATCTGTGAACATTTTGAATGCATTTTTCTTTAGCATTTTCCATTTTTTTTCAGGCACAAATTAAAAAAATCTCCAGAACAGACTGTGAAGTCTTGTTGCCAGGACACTTAAAAAATATGAGTTTTTTTGAAATCTCTTTTTGGAAGACTTAGCCTGTGTTTGACTTACATTGATGGATGAGATGTTAATTGGTTGAAGTGTGGATGACCATATGGATAGAGAAGACCCACACTCTGGGAATGTCTCCTGTAAGCTTGCCTCAGCTGGAAAGTGTGTAGCTCTGCTAGCATGGGAGTTACATTGCAAAAAAGCAAATGCAACTCATTGTTTCCGCTTTGCCTCCTAACCTTGTACATTAACTTGGGAAATCTGGTGTCAACACAGCTCTACAGATTCCAGAGCACAACTGGCTTGGATATGGCCAGGTTTACAACTGTGATGGTGTAATGGGTCCTTGCCACGCAGACGCTCCCTGCTAACGCTGAAGGCAACGCGCGGATGTCACTCGAGCTCATCCCACACGGGTGCAGCGCATGGGAGACCAGCCCCGAGCTGTGGCAGCTGCCAGGGCAGGAGCCTGGGTGCTGCTGCTGCTGCAGGGACCAGGGGCTGCTGCACAAGAGCCTTCCCTCAGGGCTCTCCAGGCTGTGAGCAGGTGGGACAGCCAGCCTGGGATGTGGCTGCATCCTGGGCACAGCGTGGGGTGCAGAAAGGATGCATTGCTTTTCTTAGGCAGAGTGGCTGGTCTCCCAGGAAATGCAAATCCATCTGCTTCCTGCAACGTGTAGAGCAGAGCAGCACCAATCCTCTGTGCACCTCCAGCCACTGCAGTAAGAGACAGCTGGACTTAAATTAATAAATTATGACAGAGATGGAGGAATCTGTCTCTTCTGCTTTATACTTCTTCACATGTGATAAAAGCTGCCTGTTAGCTTCTTCTGTGTAAGTAAAAATACTTCAGCCTTTTCTTTCTTTTTCCTTATGCATATTCTTTTCTGATTCTAAGATTCCCCATTTGCATCACAGTGCTATCCTAATTCCCAGGGGTAAAAGATTATTTTCACATGTTCTTTTTTCTTCCTAGATTAAACTAGTGATTCATTGTATCCACTAAAGGCCTTTTCTAAATTCAGACCAATATGAGAATCCCCTTTCTTTGCTCCCTGACTTTTAAAACTTGAGAGAGCACCAGTAATTCAAATGCAAGTAGCAGTGCTGGGAATGGTTTCTGACTCACTGTAATTACTGGAACAAAGGCAGTTAAACAGACATACTGATAAATCTGCTCCAAGGAGTATATAGCAAAGGGAAAAGATTCTCTTCCTCCCTCCTTCTAATGTGAAAATACTGTATTCTAAAAGTGCAGGAAAACACAAAAGACAAAAAAGGGCTTTTTTTTTTTTCTTTTAGCCTGAGCTTCAAGATGATATGCCCAAGAGGGGACTACCAAAAACAGGGAACCAAAGTTCAGCTGTAGAATAAAACTGAACAAGCAGAGATTCCATTAGAGATTAAAATGACAAAATTAAGGTCAATTAATTTAGGTCAACCAAGATATGACCCAGTTGTAGTTGTTAACTATGGGCCATTTTCCATGTTTCTAGAGTATCTTGCCTGCTGCTCTGGAGAAGCCATGTCTCCCATAGATTCTGTGGCACATCTGCCAGTCCCTGTAGCTATCTCCTGAACTCTGGGGTTTCCCAAGTGGCAATGGATGCCAATGCTTAAGCACTAGTCACAGACACGTGGGCATTTAAGTGTCTTAGCTTGGAACTGGATATCTCACAGAACATCTGTTTCCTCTTTCATCTCTCTGGAATCATGGGGTGACTTTTTTTGTGGTTTACATTGCATATAAAGCTGAAGAAAGCATTTAGCAGTTATTTGAAAATGAATCACACCATTTTTTTAGAATAACAGTCATCATTGTCAGCCCTTTATGTGCCTTTCTTGTAAAATAAATTGGCAGGCACCTAGAAAATAGCTTCAAAATTAGTGTAAGTTAATAGGCATTTGTCAAGAACAAATATACCTGACAAATTATATTTCCTTCTACGGCAAGGTAACCAGAACCAGGAATAGCCAAGAGGCAGAACTTGTCATATAGTTTGTTCTCAGTGAGGCTTCTGGCACTGTGACCTGTGGGCAATTTTACAAACAAACAAGGGAAATGCTACCAGACTGAAATTACCACAGCAGGTATAGGAGCTGCTGGGAAAACTCTGTTCAGAGGGAAGCTGTCAGCAAGACACTGTCACAACAGTGGCACTGATGGGTATTTGTCAGAGGAAGAGAAGATCTGTCTCAGGCTTTACATTTTTCCATTAGCTCCCAGACACCTCAAAATGTGGAAGAGAGGATATGTTTATTATATTTGCAGCTGATGCAGACTGTAAATGCACTGCAGCACAGGACTGAAAACAAACAGGATCTTGATGAGGTGGGATTAAACCCACACATGTTCCTGACAAGGTGAAGACAGAGGGGAGGTAGCTCTCCTGAGTCCACAAGGGTTGCAATGGCTGTGAGGGGTATGTTATTCAACTTTGATGTGGTGTCATGAGAAAGGCAAGCACTATATTTGGGTTTGAAGACTTAAATGATTGTTTTTATTCTTTTGCTCCAAACAGCTGATAAAGTCTTGCACTGAATTTTGTATCCACCTTTGGACAACGCCCTTGTAATAAAAGCAATGTAGAATGAATTTAAAAGAATTCACAGGGAAGCAATACAAATGATGAGAAATCTCAAAAAACATGACTTACAAAAGAAGACTGAAAAAGACCAGGGATATTAAAGCTACAACAGAGAATAAAAGCTGGGGGGGTGGAATGGGTCTTCAGGCACAGCAAGGGAGGCATTGCCTGACTGCCATGTCTGGGTGCTGGAGGTTCAACACCTGCCCTGACAAGTGCAAGGATGCAATATTCAGCATTCCCAGCACTTGGGGCCTGGCCTAGCTGTCTTGGGAGAGCTGATGGGACATCAGAACAGGACTGCAGTAATTGCAGGCTGAGAGTTTGCCTTGACTAAAGTGATCATAAAGCATGCTAATTCAAGTAACAATTAAGTATGCATCAAGTCATGCCTCTGCCAGGAGAGAAGTGTACAGTTTATAAATCCTGTATCACTGTTGGCTCTTGTACTTTATATTTTTTTCTTTTTTCAGTAATAAAAGGTGAATAAGTAGGTGTGATTCTTCTAGAGTGAACTTGATGAGTAGTTCTGAGCAAGTTTAGATGGGTATCTCTGAGGCAAGGCTTTGGGAATGTGATGGAAAGCTGTCTTTCAGTTAAAAGCTATTTTTTATACTGATAATTAGAATTTATGACTCAGAGATAATCCCAAAACTATGTTGATTCAATAAGAGAGAAAAAAATCCTCTGAACTTCATTTCACTCATCTTTCCCACAGCACATTAATCCCAGTAAAATCCCTCTTTGTTCTCTCCTTACCTGTCCACCTTTGCAAATTTAGCTTTGCTGTTATTACCCCTGACTTCAATAGTTCTGCGCCACAAAATCATTTTGCTTCAGAATTGTTTCAGTTCCTATGAAATTACGTGGAGGAGAAAGCTTGTTTGAGAAGGGGTGAATGGCTTTGTGTCAGGGAGTCACCTTGGTCTAATGTGAAGGTGTGACGCTGGCAGCCCTTCCCTTCCCTTTGCCAGGGAGGCTGGTATCCTCGATTATAAAAAGTCAGAAACCCACACATTGGTGGTCTATTGTTTTTCCTCACTATAGCCTTCACTATTTTCCTCAAGGCTCTGCGATAATTTTTGGAAACCTGCCTCCAGCTGGATATGTCCTGTGAACTCCCTTCAATGGGAATTCTTTAGCAAGGCTATGATTCAGTTATCTGCCTGTTGACAATTGTCTTAAACTAAGATTAGGTAAGGTTTAATTATCACTCCTAGTTTTGTTAAGATCTATTCTGCACAAAATAAAATTACTACTGAAATTCACAGGTTTACTTAAGCAGAAATTTAGAGGTAGAGTTAACATTCTTTATTACAAAAATCAAGACACATTCATACAATCCAAAACTTGCTAATAAATTGTTATTTCTTTTCATCTCCACAATTTCCTTAGCCCAGTAAAAGCAAATCAATGATGGATGGTCAAAGCACCATCTTTTATAACTCAAATAATCTATATTACACATTCATTTATATATATCCCACAATACATCTGTTGTATCTTATTCCAATAACTAAACATCAGTTCATTTACTTTTACATAAATTCCATATTTTAACACCATTCAGAGCACAATAACTTTACAAAAATTTTGTCAAATGCCTTTTGAATTACAGTGACTGTGGTTACATTCACTAACTTCTTTGACAGTGACACCTCACCAATGCCTTGGCAAAACTTCCTCATCCTCCAGCATCAAACATCTTCACCATCCTTCAGACACATTCCATTCCAGCAATTCAGCACAAAGCCACCTGCTGTGAATTTTAATCCCTTGATCAGTACCTGCTTCCATGTAAAAGACAAATCATCACTGCTTCTGCCACATCAGCCCACCAAGCTCCCAAACTAAGAGGCCTCAGTACCTATCAAGTTACATCATTTACCAAAAAAACTTTGGCAGTTTCAACTAGAGACAGAAACAATGTCTCCACATTCCTTACTGTGCTGGTGGAAGAGCCCAGATTTTATGAGGAGATAGGACTAAATCCTTCTATAGATTGGGAAATACCTAAGGATGTAAGGCCTTGCTTGCACGTAAATCAAGATTGTAGGCAGATAGAGATTTAGGCACCAGAAAAGGAGGAACATTTTGTTCAAATAATTAAAATTAACAGAAGTAATGAATCATGTTGCCACAACCTGTGAAAATAAGTTACAGTTTAAAAGCCATTTCAATACTCATCAATGTTACAAATCCAGCAGTAAGAAGACTCATTTTATAGAAGTTTTCCATGTTGTGCTGTTTTCTGTTCCCAGTTCCTTCTGACTTGTATTTCAGTTCCATTGTTTTCTGATGCTGCTTCCAACTCCCAGACCCTTAAGCAGTATGGGCTAGTGCAGTTTCACAAGCTATTCCCATAATTCTCTGTGAACAGAAATCCCTCCAAAGTCCCTCCAAAGCACACCTGGCTATCTCAGTCACCTTTCACCATGACTCTAACCCCACTAACTCTGTGTCACGCCTTTTACAAAATATTTCCCTAGTTTGAGTGATTTTCTGACAGCTGTCCTTATTTGACCTTCGTGGATTGTTAATCCTTTCCCCAACAGCGTTTCCTGCAGAAACTCTCACCTTTCATTTCAGAATTCTTTTTCTATCAGCCTGAAGAGCATCAACAATCTCAACTTCAAAATTTCTCCAGCCTGAGTAGTAATTTCCTTTCCTTTTATGAACAAGCAGTTAACAATACTTTGCATGTGAAGGTTTTTTTCAACTGTGCACTCTATTAACCTGAAGAATGAAGCATACCTCACCACAGCATCGTTAGCTAAATACTTGCGATGTTTAGAAATAGGTAAAATGAAACCATTGAAAGTGACCTACACAATATAGGGAGGTGAGTCTAAGTTAAAACCCTGGAAAAAGGGGTATTTACATCCATCTACAGAATATTTTTTTCTTCTCATTAATATTTTCTGGAAGGTAACCATCCAAAACAATCTACAGTGAATATCAAAAGTCTTTCCAGTCAACCTTCAGAGAACCAGCCCCAGTTCCTTTGCAGAAGATGTAAATAAATAACATAAAAAAACAAGTACTTTTGACCTCAGCATCCAACTTATATGTTAAAAGCCAGCACTTCTCAGTTACCTTTTATACATTTCTTTTAACTTGTAACTGATGGCTACTTCTCTGTCACAGGACAGTTTTGTTGAAGAGCTCTTGGTTCTATAACACATCCAAATCATTTGGCCCACGAAATGCTATTAATGTGTAGCATTTTTCACCATTGGGTAAGCAAATCAATTTAGACTCTAAAATACTTGTACACAGGATCAGTGCAATAGAATGCATATGAGCACATATAATCTCAAGCCAGTTTGTTTTGTAGTCAAATAAAAGTTTATTTATTTGTTGATGCTGCCTGAATGGCCATTTTACTGAACATTATTATAAATGCCTTCTTTTGAAAAAACACAGCTCAGTGGCTAGAACACTCCTTGAGGAGAGAGATTTAATATGACTTTGACCTACTACATTTCACCTTATTTAAGAGGCAAAAGGTAGGCTTCACTGAGGCCAGTGAAAAATTGCCTTCCTACTTCAGCATAGTAAGGATTTTAAGACAGGAGCTGTCTATAAATTCTTGCATTATATCCAAAGAAATGGATTTACTCTGTAATCACCACTATAAATATGTCAATATACCATTTGCTAAATATATAGAGTGGTAGTTGCTTGATCTGACTTTAGCTATCTAAAAGACAGATACCAAATACACTCTAGCTGTCTGTGACCAATGGTGAAGTTCAGGCATGGAGTGAGAGTCTCCCTGTTCTGACTTAGGTGGCTAGAATATCTAGAATGAACATTTGCAGGTGCTATTTGTTTCCCATTCCTTATGGAAGATGCCTAGAAAACATGCTTATGCCTAGGTGACTAGTACTTGTTCATTTATACTGAAGTGTGATTAATTTCACACACAAAACTTCATCTCGAATCAGCAAGGTTTCTTTATTCCTCTTGCCATCCCACAAAGTAACCTTCTTGATTTCCATAGACATAACTGTTCATAAAAGAGCTGACTGAATTTATTCTTGTACCAATTTTAACTTTTATTCAGAACTGAGACTCTCCTTTTCTGGGGCTATCCCTAATAATATGATAATAATATCCCTGATAACCACTTTGTTATCTCCATTCAGACAGTAATGGCTGCACTGGCCCATTTACATCTTCCCTCATTACCTAAGCTCTTCCTTAGCTTTCCCTTAAGATGAGCCTTTATCTGCTCCTCTGTTATTGAATATCATCTTTCTTTTAGACCAGAGTTTTGCAGTCTTCCAGATGAGCATCTACTGACTCACTGCACTGTGGTAGCAATGATTTCTGGTTTTACCTTCCTAGGTGTATTTCTTAGGGTTATTCTTTCTGCCTTTAACTTCTATTTCTCTCTTCCACTGCCAGAGTTCCAGTCACGATAAATCCTCCACTGTGTTTCTGCTAATACATAAAAATATTATTAATCTGCTACTGTTTTAATAGTAGCAGATTAAAAATATGTCAGGTATGTCAGTTGTTACAAGTAAAAGTTTTGCACGCAGAGGTTTTGTATTTTTTTTGTTTTTTTTCTTTGTTAGTTTTTGCATTTTCTTCACTTTGACAATGAAGGTCAGCGGCATGAGCCTTCATGCATTGGAATTTGACAATTTTTTCTTCCCATTTGTCAAACTTTTAGGAGAATGGGAAGAAAAATTGTGGGAAAATGATTTTTCACTCTTCAAATGAAATGAGGGGCTGCCTGCCCACAAGCACTGCCAAACCTGACATATAAGGAGGCAGCTTTCCAAGCTTCCATGGAAACATGGAAAAATGTATCCATCCTCCTCATGCAGACCTTCCTATGAGGATGAATGAGTTAAAATTTTCCCTTTGATTCTTTCGGACATGCCTTCAGAAATGTGCCATCCTCATAGTCTGGCCTGCAGCAGATTTCCCTTTCCTTTCCTGACTATAGCAGAATGTGGAGAAGCTACTTAAGAAATGTCTGGACCTTGCTACTGGAGCCAGTTCATCCTTTCTTCCTGTGGGGTCAGGTTCTATCCCAGAGAAATCTGCTTAAAATTTCCTAGCATATTTCTGTTGCCACACAAGATGTGGCCATCCTGTACCTTTACTGTTCCTGGGAAATGTCAGATAAGAATCAGAGATGAAGACCTTTGGGAGCTGGTTTGCTTCTCCTTATGCTTATGGGAAACGGGAATAACTGGGACAGTGGGGGTAGTGGGGTGAATTGTACCCATATACACCAACCAGACCTTCAGCATAATTTGGAGAGCTTTTGAATTCCAAAAGTAGATAAAAGGTTGTCAGGATTTAGGACTTCTCTGTGCATGAGAACCAGCACAAGTACAGGTCCATGAAAATATTTTCTTTTCCCTATACCAAGTAGCATCTTTATAGTTGATTGATCACTTTTTTTTTTTTTTTTTGTTTTTTTGTTTTTTTTTTTTAATGCTTCATGTTTCTACTGGCAGAGTGAGATACACATGAAAGCATTCATTACTTGACGGGTAACTGCCAGCCTTAAAACTGGCTAATGGCTTATGCAGACTTCAAGATTATTGAGAATGCTGTGCTTGTTCACATGAAATTTCTTCATCCTGAGAGATTTCCAAGTAACACTCATATGGAGCAGTGACTTCATAAAAATGGAAAGACAAATCATTCCTATTTCATCCCTCCCATGGAAGGAAGTAGGAAAATATGAATTATTGATAGTGAATAAATAACTTTTTCTTCTCTTTTTGTGTATGTAATTCAAAGGTTTATCCTAATTTCCTCAATTTTTACATCTTTTAGAATTTACAGCATAACTCAGGGCACTTTCTTGATAATAAACCCTGTTTGTCTAAATACATGCAGTGTAGTAATTCTATGACTACACTGTTAGAAGAGAAACAGTATTATTCTATTCTGAACTCAGTTTGTGTCTGTTCTGGGTTCTAAATTGTTCCTCATCTCTACTCTCTATCATAACCTGATGACATTATATCAGCAATGTTTGTTTAAAAAAAATGGTTTTTTGACTAAAACCTAATATGTAAAAAAGCCCCAACATTTTCAACTCAAACTTAAACAAAAGTTTAAGGAGCTTGTGGATGTAAACTGATGGACAAATTGAGACAGGGGCCACAGTGACTAGACAAAATTAAAAGGATATGTGACTGATTGTATAAAGGAACAAATCTCCCTTTGCTAATTTCTAATTCTGGGTTGTGTGTGCCACTGGTGGTAATTACTAATTCAACAAAGAGGCTTTCCACATCTTCCTATATCTACAAATCTGGATGAATCTATTTCATCCTCTGGCCATCACTACTACTTGCATAAATAAGATGACAGAAATATAGATCAACCAGTCCTCTGCTGGTGGGAGATGTTCTTGCTGTGTTGGCACCACCTTCACACCTGCCACAGGGGAGACTTTTTTGTTATTCCATAAGGGAATAGAATCCCAGTAGAATAAGGGATTGGAATCTATGCTTCTCAAGAGAGACGCATACTTCTAGGCTATGAACTACTATTAGTGAGGACACACAATTTAATAATAATAATTAAAAAAAAAACCCAAAAAACCCCAAGATGACATTAATGAGGTTGAGTATATATATTACTGCTATTAAAGGGAGTTGGTTCCAGGGTTATCCTAAAATAATCTACTATCACTCTGCTTGTGCTCCTTAATCAGGTCTCCTAGTGCTGTTTTAATTAGAGAGAAATGCTATTAAGCCCAGAATAATGAAACCAAATAATTCAGTGATTGTAGAAGAGTGACAGGTTTATCTGCATTCCTTCTTCAAATTATGCTTCAAAAACATTCTCAACATTCAAGTTGCCATATTGCATTAATATTTTGATTTCTCATTTAATTTCTTGTGTACATTCTGAAAATGGTAATTTTTAAGAAAATAAAAAATAAAGCCAACTTTTTGAAACCTCTTGCATCTCTAATATTTAAAAATTAAAAATGAGACTGAAAACTGAAAGAAAGGTGAAGGAATAGAAGAATATCAGAGAAATATTTTCAAGTGGAATTGTCTGTTTTCCAAGTAAAATAAAAATGAGGGAGAAGTAAAAAATTGCTAATGTAAACTTTCCCATCCTGTCATGTAGCAGTTAGCTGTCATTTGTTACCTTTCAGTATTCTAAACAGCTATAGCTGATTTTTTTTCCTGTTCAATGACTATACAAAACACAAAGCATCCATTTGCTGACTTTTAAAGGCTTGATTATAAACTATTATAAGGGTTCATAATTTTCAGGAATACTCCTAATTACTGTCCATGTGTATTAACAAGAAATTAGGTGCTATTCCTTAAGAGGAAATATCTCCATGAATTCAAATAACTATGTAAATTGAGACAGTTAAAGGAAGCAGACTTCTAAACTTTTTAGTCATTATCCCTTTTTAAATGGAAGTCCAAGAACAATAGTCTTATGCTAGAGCATTATATCATAACTTGTGTATCTAAGATTTTTATAAAAGTAACACAGCACCTGCTAAGAGAATTTTTCCCACACTTGGAGGAAACAGCAAAGCATTGCCTGAACAATTTACCAAAGAAGAATGTTACTGAGCCATACATTTTAAAAGAACCAGACATTTAAAAACACACCTGTGCTGATCCTGGGAAACAGCTCATGAGAAACTGCAGCTTTGCTAGCAGCTAAAGTGCTTTCTCCAAAGACATGATTTACTGGAGAGCCTGAGCTGTTCTCACAGGGGCTCCTGCTTCACTTGGGTTTGACTCTTTAGAAAGTGAAGATTCATGGGCTTGTACCTACCTCTGTGTAAATCAGGACTATCTCCTTTGAAGTATGCAGATGCAAGAATCTGTGTGAATAAAGGAGGATCAAGGCTCGGGGCTGTCATCCCTGCTCTGCTGCTTTTATTCAGGTTAGGATTTCAAATATGTAATTGCAATATTATTTTTCCTGTCATTTGGGAATGTGGGTTGAGGCTGAGCTGGAACAAAAGGAGAAATAGGTGCAGGCTTGCTTTGCAGAGCTGCAGCATGGTGCCAAGGAAAGTAGTGGTGGCAGCTTTTCAGCTGCCCTGTCACTCTGAGTGGTTCCCAGCAGTGCTCCAGAACTCCCTCCTTTGCTACTCCATTCCTCTCTCAGGCAGCAGTAATAATGCCACTGTTGATCACACTGTAGTAGAAGACTTCCTAATATAATGTTGTGCTTCTAAACCAGAGCTGCCTCAACAGTGATGGTTTTCTAGCCCATATCTTTCCTATATCACCCTTGTGCAATATATGTGTCCTTCACCTTTAACTGGTATCATGATTTGTGCTGGAGCTCCTTACTCAAAGCAGGATGAATCCCACCTGGGCAAGTTACACACTTGGTCAACATCTTAAGCCTCAGTCCTCAAGTTGGAGGTGAGGTTGTAAAGGTTTTGATTGCAGCTGAGGTGTTCAGTGATCTGCCAGAGGCATGTGATATGGCAGGGCTTGCTAAAATTGGTAACATGATGAATGATTTTATTATTTACAGTGTCATTAACTGGGCCTGCACTTCAATCAGAAAACCAATTTAAAAAATAAAGAAACAGAATAGTCTACTCAAGGAGTGGAGTTAATGCAAAAGCCTACTTCAGAAGAAAACACTTGCACCTGCACTTTTCAACTCCCACATGAATGACAATTTAATCTGTTCTGGCACAGAGATTTGATTTATGTACACAGATGCCCTAAACGTCACAGTCCAAAGTAAGAGTCTAGCCCACACTGAAAGCATTGTTAACATCATTGCTCTTTAGCCTCTTAATTTTTTACATGAAAATTTAATACTAAATCAAAACTTAAAAAGTAAGGAGGATTTCTTTAATTTCAGAAAGCACATTAAATACAAATAGCTCAACATCAGCACTTGGAAGTGAGCAGGACTTTCCTCAATGTGGAGAAGACAAAAACATTGTGCTTGTTTCTAATTGGGCAACCAACTCTGAAAGACAGGAAAGTATTTTACAGGAGTAAAATACATCCATCTATCTCAAGACACACTTCCACTATTGCAAAGAGCAGTATGTGAAAATACATCAGAAATGGTGTAACAGTTAAACTCCCAGCACATCACTCCATAAGCAACTTGTGCACATTTTTGTTTATCACCAGCTTCCCAAAGCTGCCCCACTGACCCAAGGCCTTCAGGCCAGGTGTGCCCTGGCAGTTACTGAGGTACTGGTGTGCAGTTCCTGTGTGGGTCAGCTCCTCTTCACTCCTCAACCACAAACTAAAACAGCATTTCCAACTCATTGAATACCCTCAGTTTTGGTACCACAGATGAGAGCCACTAGCAATCCTCACTTTGTTTTGTTTCACGGGCTTTTCTGAAAATTGTGCTGCTGCAGTTAAAAGCAGAATATGCTAACTACTAGACATCTGTTTTATACGAATAATTTAAAAAGAAATATTTACTGTGTTATTCAATAATATTTTAATGTAATCTCCCACAGTCCTGCATGGTGCCATAAAGGCTGGCCATCTCAAAATGAACTGGTTAATGAGCTGACATCCTAATTTGTACTCTCAGTAGCGTCCTGTTGCATTTTCTAATATGTAAAGAATATAGTGTTTACAATTAAGACACAGGACTAAAATAGATGATGCACACTGGTGCTTAGTGACCTACTATTGCTAAAATAATGAAAAATGTGTTTTCACCTGTACTTGCAGATTTCCTGCTTTTCACAGTGTACCCAGACCTGAGAGACTTTTGTTCTTCCTACCCTTAAGATCCTCTCATAAATGAGAGTCTCTTTGTTGAGCAATTGAAAACTGGGATACCCAAAACCCATAAAAAATAAACTAATGGCAGAAAAAGCAGCAACTTTATTGCTCTCTGAAAGCCAACAATGGGAAAATACAGTAGACTGGAGACAGTCTACTAAATAATTTATGCCATATTGCCCATTTCAGAACGATTTTTTTCCCTATTAGGTGTGCATTAACACATAAAAGTCAAACACATGGAAAATCTTATCTCATCTCAGAGAAAAATAGTCCCCCACCCTTGCATTTCCTCAAGCTCAACACTACTCTGAGCTGCTACTATCTTCTAAAGAGAATGTGTTATTATTTGCTGTAATTCTGCTGAACCTTAAATTGAGTTCTAAGCACACTTGAAACATTCATTATACCAACACAATGGTATATCTACCACTTTCATTGCTTGCATCTTAGCAGATTATTCCTCAAAAATCTGCATTTGCTAAACACACCATTATAAAATGTTACCTCACTGCGAGTCACAAAACTTTCAAAAAAAAGGGAAAAGTCCTCATCTAAGACTGCATGCTACATTAAAGTACCATATTTTATTTTCATACAAGGATTACTTGCTCTCCCAGATTTCAATTCATTATTATGGACCATGCAAAATGCCACAGACCACAGAAGCTACATTTTCAAATGGAAGTTTTTATTGATTAATCAGGCATTGAATCAAGTATTGTAAAATAAACAGATTTTGTTTGTTAAAAAATGTCCAGAAGAATACTGTTCATAGCAAACTTGTTTCCTCACTGTCATACGGAATATGAAATTGTCCAAGAAACAAGCAAAAAAGGAACACCTGACTAACTGCTGTCACTTTGTATGTGTATATACATATGTGTGTGTATACACAAATGACACACTATATTTGTGCATATGCTGGTATGTGTATACCCATACATATGTGTACATATATACACAAACACATATGCACACAGAGCACTGACTGAGTTAATAGGACATCAGAGAAATGTGGCTTAGCTCCGGATGAAATATTCTTTGTCATAATAAAGATGATACAACAAGGTCTGTAGATAAAATACCATCCTTTTTCTATTGGCCAAAACCACAATCTGTCTTTAGACTCATGCTCTATCTTCACAATGAAAATATGTGAAATCATTTGGGACCTCTCCAAATTCATGGTACTATTTCCATGCAGCTCCATCTCTGCCAACATTGTATAACTAAACACTGAGCAGAGTTTTCAGTTTATCCACTACTGAAATCAGCTTCTAGATCTAATATTTCTTGCAAAAGAGAAGATACACAACCTTGCTACATGTACTTTGGTAATTCCCTCTTTACTTTTAGGCAGAAACTTGGCAATAACCCTAGAATAAAGGTCCTTTCTTCATGCATCCTTTTATCACTGCTTTGCATCAGACATCTGTCAACTCATTTTCAAGATTTTCATACCATCTCAGCTAGCTCCCAAATATCCTAGGCCAGATCATCTGGGCATTGTAAATCAGATTGTACAAGTAGCATTGTACTCAGTTTTAAAATGTAATGAATGCTTGGGGACTGATTTACTTTTTCATTTTTGAGGGTATACATTTCTTGATTATTAATGACCCTATGATAAACACTGAGGTTCACTGTATGTACACACTTTGCCTCTTTACGTCTACTTGGGAAAGATCAGTGGCTCCTACCTGTGAACTATGGGATGTTGCCCAGCTGAAAGCCATGGTATCAGCAATGAACTGCCAGATTTTTCTCCATTTATTTCAGCAGTTAGCCAGGCATGTAAATGGAAATCAAAGAAACATGGAAAGGCATTTATTCTCTATTAAAAAGAAACAAACAGGCATGTACATATTCTCCTCATTTTGTTCATAAATTTTTGATATAATCATAAGGCAAACTGTAGTAGAGCTTTACACCTGGAGAATCAGTATTTAAAAAATCTGAAACTGAGCTTGGGACCATTTTATTTTGGACCCATTACTGAACAAAGTGCATTAAGGCATCTTTTTCAAAAGATACCTAAAGCATGATTATAAATTACTGAGCAAATCTTTAAAGCTGATATTCAGTTTATCTTTTTTCTATACAGGCAGATATATTCACCACTTGCATAGTAATAACAAAATACTGTAGGAAAACCATTCTTTTAAAGTTGCCATATGCCTCAACTGTCTCCCAAAATGTTCCTTTATACATAATCATTGCAATAATTACAAAAAGCTTTTATCTGTAAAGGGAAAGAGAAAAAAAATGCACCGATTCAGCTCTGAGATAAAGTACGTAGAACCTCTATTGCCTTCACTGAAGCTCTTCTACCAACACCAGGATGAACATAGGGTCTCCCTATGCAGATTTCTACTGCTGTTGAAATCTTACTCTTTACTTTTCATTTGCAAAGTGAACTGTGCTTTCCCAAACAACCTGGAACAATGATTACTATGAGCAAACTCCAGCTGCAGTGTTTCTCCATACAGCACATGCAAAACAGATTTCCTTGCTTTGTTATAGACACTACACAGTGTATGACAATGAAACATTTGTATTTAATTTAAAACCAATGGTAAAGTGGTGCATGTCTCACTTCCGAGTTGTTGGCTGGGCTTGCTATGTTGAACCTTGTAAAATCAGCAATAAGCATTCACATGTCTATCATCAGAACTGTGACATCTTCTATTACAATCAATCTTTAAATGATGCCGTGCTTTATCAAATTAGTCTACAGTCAGACCTTGGATTAGCTGTTCTCCTCCAGTGCTGTGGGTTCTCAGAGATGGTATCGATCTTCCACATCCTCAATGATTCTATAATGTTTTCCAAAGATGAAAATGAAGCACTGATAGATGGGAATATTGCCATCAATAAAAAAAAAATCACCAGATGATTTATCCACTCACATTTCTAGGAGATACTCCACATGTTTTTTATGAACTGAGAGAGCATTGCCCTGTGAACAGAAGTAAATTAAACTTTATTCTTTTGCTGTGGTGGCGAGCTCCACTTCCTCGCTTGCTTATTTTTGTTCTTTTGGTCTGCACACTCCCATGTGCAGAGTAGAAATTGAGAGCTCTTGCACTCAACAAGGCTGGTAATGAGACCAGTAATGTTGGTACAAGTAAAACCTGCAGTATACTGACTTGTCCACTATGCAGTTTTCATCTTTCCAATTTTCTTATATTATCCACTGTAAAATAAAATTATTCAAAAGGCTGATGAAACTTTAATTAACAGGACCACCAATGTGCAAAAAAACCCCTCCCCTCAAAAAAACAAGAAGTCATATCCCAGATGTCCATACTAGGCTTTAGCTTTTTTTTTTCCATTTTTATAAATAATTTACAAATCTTCCTATAAGAGATGAAATACAAAACCAACCAAACAAAATCAACTGAAAAAAAAGTTCTAAGATATTATTAAAGCCACTTCTTGTCCTTCAGTACAAAATACACAGGAAGAGATTTTCTCTCCTTGTCAGTTTTGCCCAAATTTGGCAGCATTGTCTGGGATGCCACATGGATCTGCCAGCTCTGAGTAAGCTCCTGGTGGCCCCGCCTGGCCGCCCTGGGAAGATGTGCTGTCCTACCTTTTGGCTTTTAGCACTCACGCGAGCTGCTCGGAGGAATCTAGGTGGTCAGGGATAGGCAAGCCAGTTATAATGGTCAAACATTTATTCCACACCGTGAACGTGGGGCACACTGGCTGGCCAAATGTAATGTCAAAAGTGTAAAGGTGTAAGGAGTTCAAAGCATCATAAAAGGCAAGGGAACCGTTGTCGTAGTCCAGCAAAATGCCAACCCGCCGGAGGTGAGGTGCGGGTTCGATGGGGATTTCTTTGCTGTTGTGCCGCACCACCCACGTGTTATTGCAGCGACAAAGCACCCAGGAGGCAGAATTCTTTCCAATCCACTCGTGCTTTGGTGCTGATTTGTAGGAAATACCAATAGCATACCTGCAAAACAAAAGCACATCTCAAGGAAACAAATGCTTCCTGCCATTTTGTCTCTCAGTGAAGTCAAATGTTAGCCCAGAGGACTCACTGGAATGCTCCTGCCTCTTACTGCTGTGAGTTAAGCTCTAATTAAGTGACATTTCACCACAACATCTGCACAGGCTTAATTACTGCTTTTCTCTGTCTCTCTTTTGGGTTCAGAGGTCAGGGAAACTCATAGTGTTATTTCTAGTTTGGCAGCTATGGCAATTTTTTTGAGGTCTTGCCTCTGGTATTGAAAAGGAAGATTGGTGAGTACTCAGCAACTCAGAATTTAAATCACTGGACCTCAAATTTCCATTTCCAACAGATGAATACAGAGGAATTTGTTGATTTTAAAATACACTGCTATCTGTCACTAATCTGACGTCTTCTTGCTCCTTTAATACATGGCCCTGAAGAAGGAATGCAAGTGTAAACATCAAAGGACATATTAAACATCTCTTCCCCCTCCCCCCCCCGTATTTTGCCATTTTCAAATCTGTTTTGCCAGATGTTGGTGTGGTTTTCAGATTCAAATGAACATTTTAGAGACTGGGTTTCAGGCCAAGTTAAGCAACTGTAGGTGAAGACATTTGCTCTGCAAACCATAATTTATGGCAAGATGTGCAGGGCAGAAGGATTCTGAAAATACTCTCATTAAAGGATACTGAGGAAAAATACTTGATTTGTCATATATAACAGAAATGTAAAACTTCCTCACGTTCTAGAAACACTGCAGTATTTGTTGGACATTCAGCCTACAGAGATTAATGTGCCATAAGGTTTTTTTCCATATTCCTTAGCACTGGCACAGACAAACAGCATTTTACTTCTTTGAGACAGTGGGAAATACCTGAAGACCCCACTGATTTTTCCACTCCATTAACTTTCATCATGATGTCTTTGAATACCAAAGAATAACATCTCTTCCATTGACTAAAGACCCTCTGAAATACACCCCTGTATGACACAGAGGATCATTCAGAAGTGAAGGAAAGCAGTCTTCTGTTTCCTGCCCTTTGCCTCATTCCCTGGGGCACAGACCTATAGCTCTGCTGCTTCATGTCCCCTTCCCAAAAGCAAATCTGACCTCTGCCCCTGTTAAACTGGACTATCAAGTTGTCCTCAGTTTTATTTATTTTTTTCATAGTGAAGGACAGAAAATCTTCTATGTTTAGTAGAGAAGTGATCACATTTACAAAGCTATCTCTGTGTAACCAACATGAAAGTTTTGGTCCCTCCAATTAAAAAAAATCTTAATACATACTGTATGTGGGTTCAAAAAAACAACCAACCACAGCTATGGAGTAAAAGTCCCGTGAAGGCTGCTAAATACAAAGATGCATAATCTGACAGATTTATTCCTGGAGTCCAAAAGTGCTGGAGATTGGGAAGCTCATCTGACAAACTATTTGAAAATACATGCTTGGCCTGCTCTTATACTGCTCCTGATGTCTCTGCTACCGATCTCTGTTAGAGAAACTGTGCCAGCACCTGTGTGGTGGGAACTAGTGATTCTTTTCACATATATTTTTATCTACATACCATGTGCTCCCGCTTATCACCACTTCCCAGTAATGCCGCCCGCTGTCGATGAACACGTTGCCAGCTACTCCGTAGCTCCCTTGGCTTGTGAATCGCTCTGGTGTGTGACTTTTTTTGGATGATGTTTCATCTCGTTCCACTGTCAAGTTATCATGAGACACTTTCAGTTTTCTATGAGCAGATTTGGGGTCCAGTTTAAATGGCTGACCTAGGGATGCAGAGACAAAGGCAACAGAAGAATGGTTTGGCTTTGATTTTTAAACAGAGAATGGATTAGCAAGCCTTTAATAAGCTCACAAGATTACATAACCATATTAATTTCCTCCTCTCAAGCATTCTTGAGACAGACTAACTTATTCTTCTCCCTGCAATAGCTAATTTCTTTTGCATTGTCAGTTTACTGTCAACTTCATTGTGCAGTAACTTCCCCGTGTCGGTAATCCCTGAAAAGAACCCTGCATAATCATCATGTCCATTATCTCTGACCTAGAGGTAACCAGAATACTCTAATTCTTGCATGTAATTGAAACCAATATACATGCTAATAAAGGTCTGAGGGTTGCTTTTTTCACAGCATATTAGATTTAGATAAACTTGTGTTCTATTAATTCTCTAGGGGTAAAGTTCCATAATATCTTCATCATTCCTACAAAAAGTATGTTTTCAAATCCCACAAAATGAGTTTGAAAATAAGAAGAACTAGACTTGTCTCTTTTTTCACTGACATCTTTATTTGTAACAAGCACAGTCAACAATTCAGGATTGCTTTGGAAGGATGCCCATGTGGTGCTGGATACTGTGCATTAAAAAAAAGGAAGTGAACTGTAACTTGGTCCAAATAATATGGTGCAATAACATTACTCAGGCTGTTGCTCTTGGCAAGTATCTTTGGCTGTAGCACAAGGTTTGTAGACAATAACAGGAAGCTTTTTGGTAAACCAAACCTTGTAGATATGTAAAGTCCACCACAATTCTGACAGGCTTGCTCGTTGTGTCATTTACCTCCACCAAGAGACAACTAGAAAAGTACAAGTCCACAAATGGTCCAGCAAAGTACTCTTTTCTTCTTACTGTCTTTCATACCAAGGGAAAAAACATGTAATCAAAAGATTCGATGGCATGCACAGAAAATTAAATTAGATCTCTCATGAAGCCTGTGCGAGGCACTGGCACATGCACTTAAAATAAGATGCAGACTGTTCAGGATTATCTACTTTTGCAATGTGCATTTAGCTACCTATTATGACCAAACATAGAATAAACCCATTGCAAATTAATTGGGGACCGTTTCTTACTACCTGACATCAGTAACATTACCTCCTGCCTGCCTTTCTGACTGCTTAGTAGCCTTTGTGTGCTGGAGCAGTATCTGAAGGACGTCTCTCTGTACTAAATTGTGTCTGGTCACAAAACACAGGTTAATAGCAAACAGGAGGGAATCAGAAAGGTGTACATGCCATTCTCTTCAGACCCCTTCTTGCACCACTCACCAGCCCTCTTCAAGCACCCTCCCCTACAATAAGCAGGTTTCAGAAGATGCACAAATGCCAGTGTTTTCTTTCCAGCCCTCAGAACTGCCCATGATGACTATTATGACTGAAGGATTAGTTTGGGCAAGAGGAAAAACCAGCTGAAAACTAGACTTAAAATTGCTATTCTACATCTGCTAATAACTTGAGTAACCACTGTTTTTTTGAAGTGGGATCTCTGACTAGTCTATCACCTTGCTGAAGTCCATAAAAAATGAGGGGGTTGAAGTTAAGAAGCTTTCCAATGTCCTAAAAAAGAGATAATTTTGGAGGATAAAATTAGACTAGCAATTATCTTACGAACACTACAGAAAAATAAAATGTTTTACTGCAAACATAAGAAAAGTTTTTGCTTTGTAGAGGAAAAAGAATAGAGAGGATATTAAAAAAAAACCACAAAAAAGTTTTTAACCATTTCACATATGATGGCTTCGTTCCTATGTGATATTTTCAGTGACCAAACTACAGATATATGTCTTAAAAAAAACCCCTAACATATTTCCTGCACTACAGAAGACTAAGGCAATCTTGAATTATGTTAAATAGGTGGGTCTCATTTTGGAAAGCACTTTAAAAGAATTGAACTTCTCTGTCCTTTTGTATTTTCCAAAGATCAGCCTGAAAAAGGAAGGCCGGAGAGGAGAGAACTCTGTGCATCCTGATCCTGTGTTACTCACTGTTTGTCTTGAGCTTGCCAGGCTCGCTGCTGCGGCTGCCAGCCTGGTTAATGGCCTTGACAATGAAGATGTACTTCGTGCCACTCTGTAACCCGTGCACCGTGTAGTGGTTTTGTTTGATATTAGGAACAATCATCCAGCTGTCGGCTGAGTTGCATAAACCTGCAGTTTTGAACAGAGCAGATCAGTCATAGCACATGAAACACTTTGTAACAGAGGGACATTTAGAGCATTACCAGGCACCCAACGATCAATATGAACTTGCTTCTGTACCTTTTAAAGTGTTGTTACATTTACTGAACCACTAATTCATTTTATCAACCTGCAGCCAAGGTACCTTTTAAATTCTTGCAATGTGAAGTGAACCATAAAAAGTGGGTATTTAAGAAATAGCTCAGTGGAGACACTAGTAGTCTGAGAGTTTTCACATCCTAGCACAAGGCATTCTTTATTGCTTAAGAACTGGAGGATTATGGAGATCCCATCAATCTACTGTTTAGATTAATGAACTCAGTTTAAATCTCAGAAAACGAACGTGAGCAGTAAAGCAGGAGGGCTGGGGAGGCACCTTTGCTGACAGTCCCCAGGTATGCATTCTTCAGAACCTGAAGCAAATCATGGGAGGCCAAACAGGGTAGAGCATGGGCTTCAGAGAAAACTTTGGCTCTTGCACTTCAGACTTTGCCAGAAAGTAATCTAAGCCAGTAAATTTAATGGATGCAGCTTTTTGATTTATGTCCTCATGCTGAGATGCCAGCTGGGAAAGAACTGGAAAATATTCCATTTATAAACCTTTTTGGATTATATTTGGTTTACATTTGATACTTACCACAGAAGTATAACACACAGGAAGTAAGGAAAATAAGGCAGTACCAATATCATAAACAACACAGGAAAATACCCTATTAAAATGAACTTTTTAATCTTCATAAGTTTTTCCTACTGTGATATGAATGCAATGGCAGTCAATCACCCATACATACAGTTCCATCACTGTATGTTTGGAACAGCTCCTGGTCTAATGGATTCCCCAGCCTCTTACTGTAGATGTTTACATAAAGAAAAAAAATAACATTTATGAAGAGTATATCTATTCACAACATTTTATATGGTTATACAACCAGAAACAGATAGATGCAAGTGGAAGTTTATACATGTGTGTACATATGTAAGGCTGGAAAATGTAACAGAGAAAGGCTGACAGACTTCTTGGCCTCTGACTTTACTGGGCATAGAACACATTATGGATGCTGTTGCTATTTACAGACATCTTTCAGCTTTTAACTAATGTTCTTCCAGCAAACCACTCATGAAGACAATCTTTTAGAACTCAGAAGTAATTCAGCTCTGCATATCAGACAATATGAAAACTTTATGTAAATTAAAATGTAAAGGCTACTGGTTGCAAAATTTGAAAGAAAGAGATCTGTGATACAGGTTTGCAGACTCATAGACAATTCATGGTCATACTGCAAGATTCCTTCCTAATGTGATATGTGCTTTTCATAACAAAAGATCATTAGTAACAGAATTTCAATTCCAAATTTCTATCTAAGTATTATCAAGTTTGTATCTTAAAATTCTCTTGCATTGAAAAACTTTTTTGAGAAGTAGACACAACAGAATTCATCCTGCTGTTCAAATGGGCAACTGTGACACAGTTTCACTTAGCCATTCAGTTTCACATTGGAGTCATACTATCTTGCCAGCTAATGAAAAACTACAATGCCTAACCTATTTTTCTGTCTTGTGAGGAAAGGAAGAAATCAGTAAGTAGTTTCTTTCCCTTCCCCAGTCGTGAACATCCTACCAACCACAAATGCCTGTCTTTTCTTGTCCACAGAGGAAGCCTAGGTGATCAGCATAGGTGAGATATCAAAATATATCTAAAGAGATATATTTTGAGATATCTAAAATAATGTGAGGTGAGTCACCTATCTGTAGGATATATATATATATATACACACACACATATATGTGCGCATATATATATATATGCATATATATATATATATATGCATATATATATATATATATATATATATATATATATATATATATATATATATATATGATTGTATAGAACAATTATCTGCCTTTCTCATGAAGAAAAAGAACCCTACTTTATACCCTGTGGTAACTCCAACTGGGCCCAGCACTTGTAGTGAACTGCTTAAAGCAACATCTGTCCATGTCTTCTCTCACTGAGCCATACACGCCAAATTATATTTATTTTTTTAGGCTGTGTGTGAATGGGTTTCCTATGAGGAAGAAAGAAAATAAAGGAAGCAGCTTCCTGACATAAAATATTTCATTGACTACTCTGAGGAAATCACATCTTTTCCCAATTTGCCACAGATATTAATTGCACACTTCTGTATCTGAACTGCCACATACATTTTGCATTGAGATCATCCCTTACTGGACTCATAGGTGCTATTGCAAAAGAAATTAAATTATTAATTAAATTAAATATATTATTATCTTTCATAAATAGGAAAAAAATGAAGCATTGGATTTAAAAGGAATTCTATACGATCAAGGAGTCTTTAAATAAGATGCCTCTGATGGGATACCAAGTAACATATGACAATAAGAGGGATGGATACAGACAGTGATCCTAGTAGTGTCTTCTCCAACTACAACCACACTTTGAAAACAAGTTCTGTGGTACATATAAGCCATATATAAACTGACCATTATGCAGACACAGAAATGCCCAGATTTTTGCTAACTCATCAAGAAACTAGTTTTGTGTTATTCACTACAACTCTGTAATGGGCACATTTTTAAGACTTTCATTACACTTTTTACAATATTCTCCAGAAGCTGACTGCTCCTTAACAAAGTATAAAACTTTGATCCAAATGCGTATATAAAGGACAGTAAAGGTATTGTTGCATTGCTGTGAGTCTCCTCATTGGGTATGTGGATTTATACCTACACAATCATCACTGAAGGCCTTACCTACCCTAAACACTTTGTACAGTCAATAGAGAGAGCCAGAAGCCTCCTGTTTGACCTGACTCATGTTCTAGAGGAAAGCTCTATCTCTTTAATAACAGAATACATGTTATGTTTCTTTTCCTTGTCCTTCCATTCTGAGGCATCCCAGACTACTGATGTGCAACAAATGCTGGACATGCAGTGACTGACCTGGTTACTTTGCTCAAGAAATCTTGTTGTCTTAAAAAGCTCAGCTCTTGCCTATGCACCAAAGGGCTCAGTGATACATTCTTGTGCTTTCTGACTGTAAGCTCTTTGATAATAGACTTTAAACTGTACTTTGATTCAAAAATCCTGGGAATGAAGTATTGATGATGCCAAACTACAAGTCCAAACTCCTTCAAAAGAGAGAGTAGTTACTTGTGGCAGCCAAGTTAAGCATTTACGTATGAAAGAATAATTTGTCACTGCATCAAAGGAATTTATCTCCAGTCATGCCCTGTCAGGACAGCCTTTCTTCTCTGAATACAAAAGAATATGATTAAGGAAGTTCAGGGAAATGAACAAGCAGCCTGATCACACTGGCATCCAGGGGAAGTGTTTGCCCTCTCAGCTCCCTGCCGGTGGCAGCAGGTGAAGTGGAAAAGTACACATCTCCTCACTGGTTCAACAGCAGGAGCCAAGGGTCTCCTATTGTACCCACTCCTAATCCAGGCTGCATTCAGGTTTCTTGTTTCAAAAACCCAGGGCTTTTTACAGGGTTATACAGATGGTAAAACAATGTATTTTAAAACTGTAGCCTACAAAAATGTAGAGAATTTAAATTACATCCTGGAATGGTGCAGTGAGCACAGTGATGTCCATACAGGATGTGTTAGTTTTCAAAACAAGTTTCTCAGAGTCTGGAGGTAATAATTTGTAAAGCTATTTCCCTGGTGTTGGCTGTTGATGCACTTTAAAAAACAGATGGGAAAAATCCCAAGGTGTAAATCCTCCTAAAATTTACACTGATAGATTTTAATAAAATATATTTTCTTGAAAACTGGAAAAGGAGAACAAAAGTCATGGTAAGGTCATTTAATCTCTTGAGTATTTTAATTATTGTAAAATGTTTTATTTAAATAAATTATTACCAATTCAAATTGGTAGAGCAAATAAGGTAGGTGAAAGTAACAGATAGATCTCCACCCCCACTCTTTATTCCCATCTGAAAAAAAAATATATATACAGGATTTCTGAAAAACGCATTGAATTTTTTTAAGAAATACACTCTTTTTATACTTTTAAAGATGCAGAAGTTTTCTGGCTTTATTCCAAATTTGCTTTCGTGCTATTAAAAATTCTCACTAAAATCTCTAGTAGAAATCTGAAGACTGTAAGGAATCTTTTTTTATTAAAATAAAACTTCCACAAATCTAGAATATTAAAAATGATTTGGTGAATCATAAATTCACTATTTTTCATGGAAGCTTGGGCTCTTAATTGTCTTAGGTCCTTCCAAAAACTTTTAACCTCTCTCAAAGGAAGATAAGTCCTATAACAGTGAAAAGGTTCTGACAGTAGTACACTGCAACCTTCACATAGTGATTTTTTAGAAATTTGACTGTATACCTAATAATCCCTGATTTCTTTTACCAGGTAAGAGAGAATGATTTACTACTTTTTATCAAGAATGGAGAGATGCATTTTTCCTGAAGAATCTTCTATCAGAGCTAGAGAAGAAATTAACCATCCTTAGGAACACTATAACAAATCCATGATGTTAAAAACCGGCATACTCAATGAATACTTCAAAATCAATTGAAATGGGGTAATGGAATTATAATGCATGTTAGTTAGCTCATGACAAAGTAATTTTAAAAGCTTTTACGGTATTCAGATTGCAGGTGATTAGCTGCCTCTCAGAAATGCAAATGTACTAATGGTATAACTCTGAGAACAACTGCTTTAGTAAAAGCCTACTTAATCTAAAGTTCCCTATTGCTCTTACGCACAGAGCAGGTCTGCCAAGCATTCAATAGCAAGAAGTTTGGCCACATTTGGAAATAATCTTCCCTGTATGCAATAGAATTCAAATGAAATACTCTATTTGGATCTTGGCCATCAAATGTTAACTTTCCAATTTTTCAGTTAATAAAAAAGAATATAGTTGATTATGTTGGATAGAAAATATACTAAAAAAACATAGTATTGCTTGTTTTTGTTACTGAATTCTTAGCAATCTCTGGATGATATATGCCTCTGGTGGGGGAAATGTACTGTGAGTGGAAAGTGCAGTCAGGCTGGCTATGTGGTTTAAGAAACAGATTCCAAAATAACAGCCTCCATTAGCACGGTAGGTGGGTGTGTATGCAAAGTGATTCCTATTGTCTCGAGGGAAAAAGCTTGTTGGTTTAATGCAGTACTTGAGTTACTCCCTGGTGACTAATTCATAGCTAAAAAAACATGGAACTGAAGTCAATCTATGAGCCTCTTTACATTATCTGCTACGTGCAACACACAATACCAATGGAAAATTTTGGGATGGGACAGAGAAATAAAAATACACCTATGTGCAACAGCATGCATATGCCATAAACACGAGGAAATTTTTGCTAACCCAAAGTCTAAAACAGGATTTAAAAACAACCAAAACACAAATCTATCTTCAGTTCATCAAAACTTGAAGGCTGCAGTGCAGCACCTGTTAATGCCACTTAGAGTGAGAGCAGCTCTCTGTGTTCAACAGCACTATCAAGGTGCACTGTGATAGTCTATGAGCAGCCTTGGAAGGCCATTTGTAACAGCTGTGGCGTTAAATCCTTCTGCAGGATCAAGAATAGAATGTAACAAAGTCAATAAACATCTAGGCAGTGTTCTGAGGATGGGATTGCAGAGCAAGAAGGAATAGTCTCAAGTTGTACCAGGGGAGGTTTAGATTGGATATTAGGAAAAATTTCTTAATGGAAAGGCTGGTCAAGCATTGGAACAGACTGTCCAGGGAAGTGGTGGCGTCACCATTCCTGGAGGGATTCAAAAGCCATGTGGATATGACATTTAGGGCCACGTTTTAGTGGTGGACGTGGCAGTTTTAAGTTAATGGATGGACTCGATCTTAGAGGTCTTTTCCAACCTAAGTGGTTCCATGATTCTATGATGTTAGGGGGTAAATCTCCAGTACCAATGTAATTTGGAATGACCTAGGAGAGTCTCATATTTTAGAAGCCCAGGCAGATTTGTAACATGTTGATGGGAAGATCACCACTGGAGGGGTTCAAGTTTATATTAAATAATGGTATTTTTAAAAAAGGCTTTACAATATTTAGAAAGGCCTTTCACATATACTTACATATGCGCATATTTCATTTGGATTAACACTGTATCTTTCAATTAAACCAGGATATATGCATAAGAAATGGCTCTGTTAAAAAAACCCCACAACAAAAATAAAAAGAAAACAAAACAAAACAAAAAAACCAAACCAAACCAAACCAAACCAAAAAAAAACAACAAAAGAAAAGTGCCATTCTTTCATTTCTTTCTACTTTCATTTAAGGTCTTCAGAGCATTTTGTAAACAAAGTTTCTTATAGTGTTAATTTGTTTTCTCTTCAAAATTTTAATTAACTATTTTTGCAAGATGATTATATGAAAGTTCAGTCTGCATACTGAGCACTTCACACTATGCTTGAAAATTACATTGCATCCCTGGAAGCAGACTTATTGATATGTTTTTTCAGATCAAAGCTTTCACCTCCACATGGGAAACCTACACTACAGCCTAAAATAGAAATACCTTGTTATTTATTCACTAGTAAGCAAGAAGTAAAATCCCACATCCCAAGGCTGTGGAAATGGCACACCTTTTGTTGTTGACATATTTATACATAATGCCAATAATTGACTTGCACAGAATAAAGCCATAGATAAAAATGGACTAGAAAAGCAACACTGGCTTATCATTGTAATCTCTGCTTTGTAGCAATTAATCAGGGAAGGCTTTCCTTCCTTATCTATCTTGCTTTAATTTTTGAAAAATTACTATTAGACCTTTTTTTTTTTTTTTATCCAGCTTGCTCAGCTGTAGAAGCATGTGTTGAAGTTTATTTGGTCTTTCCAACAGCCCTAAATTTTGCAGTGTGTTCTTCAAAATCAGACTCTTAAGGGAAATACTAAATGGAGGTTTTGACAAAGCATTCATCAAATTTTCAATAATCTGTCTTCTTTTTTTCAGTCTGTCCTGAATACTATGATACATTAATAGTATGTTACTTAAAAAAAAAAGTACTAAGGTGCCAGCACATAAATCTTCAGATGTCCTTTCAAATGGCTTGGAAAAGAAACTCCTGCTCAGTGATGGAGAAGATGAGGTGCACACAGTAACAGAGGAGTCAGTGGGAGAGTTTGGCTCAGTACTCAAAGTTGGTATAGATCATACAATTTTTCCACTGACATAAAGCATGTAAACATGCCCACAGCCTGACTTTCATCAAAGTATCACAACAAACTTTCTTCTTATAAAATAATTTTGCAAGAAGTAAAACATTTCTGCCCTGTCTCACAACTAAGCCTATCTAGCTCAGTGCATGGCCAGGGTATTTGATGGTGGGGAAAGATGGGAGTGTACAAAGGTTTCAAGGAACAGGGAAAGCACACACTGATCATTTCTCACCTTGTTCTCCCAGGCATCAACAGCTCTGGGACTTTCAGAGCAACTTCACTGCACTTCATTGCTCTCTGTATTTTTCTTGCACAATCTATCCAGGCACCTCTTGAACTCAAAAACACACCAAACCCCCATGGTGATGAGTTCCCTATCTAAATATGTGTTGACTTGAACAAACTCCACATTTTGATTGATTTGGCTCATTTCAGAATCCTTGTTTAATAAAACAAGTATGTGTTAGATAGTGGTATTCCCATTAAATATACAGCGACCAGGAAGAAGTTGAACGACTTCTCCAAATTCATAGTCAATGACCCCAGTGATTGCAGAACACTGAATCCAGAAATGTTGATTTCCTTACTAAAGATTAGACAATATTTTTTTTTTCTGTGAGGACTAGTTATTTAACAATAAAGCAATCCAAAATCTAGTTAAGTAAATTCAACCATTAAAGAAAGTCACAGACTAATAAAAAATATTCTATAATACAAAATAGACAATGTTTGTTAATCTCATTTTAAGTAAAACCAAGTTAACTTATAAATTGTCGTTCCACTGATGTTTTCTGACTTAGCCTGTAGTTCACTGAGACCTATGCTTTGTAGCCTTGAAGACAATAAAAATCAGAGGGAAGGACTTAATCTGTATTTCAGACAAAGGTCCAGATATCAAATTTATATAAATGACAATGGGGCTGCAGTCCTGACTAAAGACCAGTTCAATACAGGCTCCCATGTGCACACTGCCTGTCTAGTGCAGAGAATGGAACTGAGGTCTTTGAACTTGCTACATCTGCAAAAAGGGATTTGGCATGCCTTTTAATATCATTATTGGTTTGGATTGAAAATTCTGGCTTTAAATCTTTCTAGAAAATATTTTTTTTCTTTTGTTCTTGACATAGGAGTCTATTTATCTCTAAAGACACTTGGTTTTCATAGAAACCATAAGGGAACAAGAAAAGAGAAGGTTTATACTCACTAACAACATTGGCTTGTCCAGTGAAGATGGTGTACTGCAGCTCATAAGAAACCACACTGAACTCATCATCTGATGTCCAGTGCACAGTAATGGTATCATAGGAGGCTGTACAGAGCTCTTCTCGAATGGTTGGTGGGTTGGGAGCTGTGAGATGAAACACAGGAGGCACAATCAGTGAAGCATTTCCCCTCTCCCCTGAGATTAGGGGATATAGTTGATGTACGGGATTGTAGAGACATCCAACAGACTTTTCAACAACTTTCACTAATTCCAGTACTAACATTGATTATCAATTAACTGTTAGGAAGGAGCTCTTAATAACAACATAACCACCTAGGAACTCCAGATTTTGAAAATATTTTGTATTAAAGTAGCTTTAGTTCCAGATGCCATAGAACAAGTGATGACAAGTTACTTTTTTTGAGATTGTTCTGATAATTTCACCAAATTTATCAAAACTCCATTGAAGAATATCAAGAGGGAGAATCAACACTCTTCACTGTTGACTTGAAAGCAGTGTTTGCCCAGCCTATCTTACCAGAGATTGCCAAAAGTGGTATTGTGGTGGTGCATCCTTCCTGGCCCCGCTCTAGGCTGCACTATGATCTGTCATTCATTAGCAGCAGTTATTTTAAAAATATAATTTTTGGGACGCTCATACTTTCATGCTCAATTTTCTCCTCTCTCCATTTTTATTGATGTCCTAGCTATCCTTTCTAACATAGATACATATAATTTCTGCTGGTTATAAAATTCACATTTTTCAGCATTAAAAAAAAAGAGTTCTTATCATAACATAATGACTGTATAAATATTACAAGCAAATGGTCACCCAGGAACCCTCTGTCTCTCTTGTTTTCTAATCAACAGGCAATATCTTTCTGTAGCAAGATATACAATCTTATTCCATATGAACACATGTTTGTTTTAAAGACCTATTTAAAGAAACGAAACTTGAAGCAAATTACTGGGGTCTAAATTTTCCTGTTTGCAATCTTAAAAAGCCAAACACCTAAATTACAAAGAAACCAATCTCTCTTCCTGAGGGATCTTCCTGCGGGATCTACCTGCATGCTTGTCTCAGTGGGAGCTTCATTCCAAATCATCTTCCCTACAAGCCACATCATGAAAGGAAAAATCACAAATCTTTGTGCTTTAATAGTGTTTCTCCCAGCTGTCACAGAGTCAAGAAGGAGGCCACTCAAGCTGAAACAGCCAAATTATATTGGAAAGGAAAAGGAAGCAACTATGAATGTTTGTGGTTTTGTTTTGGGTTTTTTTTTCCCATTAGCTCTTTAACCTCTGAGAGCTACAAATAATAGCCTCAAAAAAAGTTCCTCTGAAGGAATTTCACCTTCACTTTTGCAAGATCTTATTTTTATGAAGCATCTATTTTTTTCCATCAAGAATTTGTATAGATCATAAAACTCATGGCTTACTGATGTATGTTCCCAAGGATTAGAGCGCAGACATGGTCTCAAGAAGCCTCTTTTAACCAAGGGGCTAAAGGAAAAGTTCAAATGTGTTTCATGATATGACCATGATTTGTTATGCTCTAAATATTGAATCACTGAAGCCTACCAATGCTTTTTTTTAACTTGTCAGAGAAACCCTTGGGACAGAAGGATATGAATGAAAAGAAATACAAATAAACTCAAGTAAGAGCAGATACCTGTGAGAAGAATGTAATTAAAATGTGGGGAAAAAAAGGGTCCACAGTTTTCTGAGAAGATTAGTGGTAATATCAGCTATGTTCCAAAAATGTATCCTGCGGAACAATCACTGGAGGTTTTTTTGGTTTTGTTTTTGTTTTTTTTTTTTAATTTTTATTTTAATTCCTAGCTGGGGCTTCATTTCAATATTTTGCCTGTCCTTCAAAGGCCAAACAAAAACTGGAACAAGTGTTAAGAACAATTAAACAAGCAGATCAATTTTGATTTGTCTGATGGTGTTCAACTAAAATTTTCTTCTGTCATCTACCACACCTAACAGCAAAACATTTTACTTGAGAAATGTACTTGCTACTATTTCAACACAGAACATAAATATTAATTTATGGAAAACAAAAATTACTGAAAGTTTAATTAATTGCAAACTGCATTTCAATAACACCTAAGCATCTTCAATTTCTTTGAAAATGGCATCCTAAGTTTGCTCTTCGTGTGCACACCTGGCCTTATAGCTGGAAATCTACAGGCCTTCATGTAATGAAAATGTCTGAAAGAGATTTTACCTAAGAAAGGCATATTTTCCCTGGCTCTTGTGATTAACTCACACTCACCTGAGACTATACTGTATGAATTCAGCTCTTTGGCAGCATTCATTTCATAAACGAATCAGAATAAAACAAATACACCTGCTTCTCCTACAGAAAGGCAGGCAACTCTACATTCAGATGCTTTGTTATGACAAAATAATGTAGCTGTGTGACTGCCAAATTCATCAATCCACAGCACATTCTCCTTTAGAGAGTGCAAATCTGTAATGCAATTAAAGAGATTGAACTCAACCAATTAGCTTCATTCAGTATTGCATTTGGTAGTGTGTGATTTGGTGAATTATTGAATCCAGCAGTCCTGTTACAGAGCTCTGTGCCATGGGAAACCTCCTCAAAGACTCCAGTGATCTCAAGGCTGCACCAGCAGATTCCCCTTCCTGGCTCGGGTGTGCTTCACCACTGCTCCAGAGGGGAAGCCCAGCATGCTTCCAGCACAGCAGTGGAAGACACACTGCCCTTCTCCATCGAGGATCAGAACACATATTTGGGAGTGGTAACTGTTTCAGACACTCAGACTTTCGTTTACCAGCTTCTGTGAATCAACACTCCCTCACAAGACAGAAAAATCTTTGCTGAAGGCTGTTTTACTTCATTTTAGCTCAAAACCGAGTAAACACAGTTAAAAAGTCATTAACCACACCTAAAATGCCTGAAAGGCACTAGTATTAGAAATGGAATTTCTTAAATTTGCTCTTAGGAGTAAGTGATCTCATTAACATAGCTACTCTCTTTCAACCCATTTAGTTTAAGGCACCTTCCTTTCCACATCATCTGCATGGCTTTTGCTCTGAAGCAGAACTGATGGCTCACAAGGTCTGCGCACTTGAAGGACACTTTAGGGACACTGCCTCTTCTCCCTGTTGAGTTCCAGCATTAATGCAATGCCTCCTGGGTGTCTGTTGAGATTCTGTGTGAATCCTCTCAGCACAAGGTCACAGAGATCGACTAAAATAACCTCAAATTAATTTTGTTTGCTCAATTTCTCTCTCCCTGATGTCATTCAGTGACTGACTTTGTAAAGATTCCTTACAGATTTTGATACTTACTATCAAGACCTAAAAGAAGATCTAAGCAATCTGCTTGAATTAATGGTGCTAGAAATATTTTTATTGCTGGTGTAACTGTAAGGGATTTGCACAAGCTACTCTGTACCTCTTTTTTAGATATTCATTACTGAGTCCATCTTGTATCGTGACACTGGGCTGAGTCAGTATGGAGGAATTTGAAAGGCACAGTTACATCAGATGTAGATACAAATTTTATGAATTATTAACTTGTCATGTGTGAGTTAGTACCAAGGGCTTGGTCATACATACAAACCATCTCCACCTAGTCTTTGGGCAGACCAGGACTGCTCAAAATCAACAGAATGAGAAGAGATTACAGGAGCGTTGTCTGGAATTGGTCTTTGATCTTTCAGTGCTGAAAGAGTTAAGCAGTAACAGAAGTTGTCAAGAGTTCCAGAACAAAGTTGTTTCTGTGTAAAAAAATTGCTGGCATCTGCTAGGCAGTACATATTTCCTTGTGCTGCCATAGGTGAAGTGATGGATGAAAAACTTATCATTGTTTCAGATAGGATTTCTGAGTTAGGGCAAATTGCAAGGTCAAAGAATGGATGCTCCTGCATTTGATTTTAAAGTATTAGGACACAAACCAAGCATTTTTGATTCACAATGGACAAAAAGAGTCCTTAGAACAGTAATATTGTGCAGAGAGTTTGCAAGTCATATGTATTGCCTGGATCTAGCTAGATATATGTCTAGAGAAAGATGCTTTCCAGATGAAGAGCTTGAGCAACTGTTAAGATAAGAATGCCTTCAAAAGATATCAGGCTATATATACAGAGAATAGAACAGTCAGATGAAGATTAAAAGTATTGTTTTAATATACTGAGCTTGATATCTCAATGTCTGGCTGGCAACTTTCAAAAAGATATCAGAGATTTTATTTGGATAACAGAAGTTTTGGACAGACATCTACGTAAATAGTAAGTACAAACTAGTTAAATTTATTTCTTCAGTAAAGCAGTAGCCTGAGAAGAAAGAAAGATAGGGTTGGGGATATGGAGGATGAAGAAGATCTAACAAATATTACACTGGCAAGAACCAAAGGAGAAAAAAATCTCCAGGAGACCGCAAAGGTAATTGTTTCAAAAACAACTGACAGCAGAGATAAGGAAGCTGGAATTTAGGTTTTGACATTTTGTTCAGGAGCAGTACAGATGACAGTCATAAGGTAGGCTTCTTCACTTAATTCACAGCATAGATCTATGGCTGGGATGTACAAATGTTCTTCATTTCACTTTACTGTGAAATGTGATAAAAGCGAATCCTAATTCACTCTGTCACACAGTGTTCAGTTTATGATCTATGAAAATTCCATGCACCAATCTGAAATAAATAATATAAAGCTTTCTCTGGAGTTTCTGGACAACAGTAGAGAATTATCAAACGCATTTTAATCTTGGGATTATATATATATGTATGTGTGTATATATATGTATATATATGTATACCTATATCTCATGTATACCTATTTACCTATATTTACATAAATGTATTTTAACTGTCTGCATAGGTTTCATTTTATGCTCAGATAATTTGGACATGTGCTTTGCATTTTGCCACTGGAGCCATATGCTATTTATTAACGTGAAGAAAAGCCAGTTAGAACTGTATTTCACTGGGCATCAGGGGCAAGGATAAAAATGGTTTGTTAGGAAAAAACCCGCTAAAATGCTTGCAAGTAATGTATGCAAGTTTCCTCAGACGGCATTGTGAGCAATTTTTTAAGACTGTGGATGAGTTATGAGAAAGGCAGAGAAGGAGCTGTGTAAATGACACAGTCATCATGATGGATCACAGAAAATATCTTTGTAGCAAGACAGCCCTTCATTTTGGTACTGATATAACCTTCGTTTTCTGCAGTTTACAGCAATTAAGTTGATAATATTGACTTATGATGTACAAAGGGGAGAAGACCTGAGGGATGCAGGAACAGACTGCTAGACAGAATTAACCTCATATAACTTCACAGATCTAAACCACAGCTATCTGCATTTGAATTGGTACATCTATCCCCTGTTTGGAGACAACTGGGAGAAATATGCAACTCCAGAATGGAGTCAAGTGCCTCAATATATGCACCTCAAAATGAGATGGTTATTTCTCTTCTTTGACCATAAAGGAAGACAAGATTGATTATTTTAGAGGTCAATTGCTAGATTAGGGCAAATGAGTCTGTTTTTTTGTTTCAATCCTTAATTTTCTTGGATTTTTATAAATTTGGGGTGAAGGCTGAACATCATGGCAAAATTCCTGCTGATTTAGAGAGAGGCAGACAACGTAACATTTCACTGGTACTGTATAAGAAGCTGAAATTACTCTTATCACAATATTGTTGTGTTTTATTTACTTGAATATGTGACAGACACTGATTGTATTAATCTGTCACACAGTGATAAAGAAATTCCTTGCAGATATAATTTCTCTTTTAGATATGGCAAGAATCCCACAGCTCCATCAGACAAGAGTGCTGCTGCCCTGTGCATGGACCCAGTCTTGTGCTTCACTATTCACAGAATCACAGAATCAAGAGGAACCTTCAAAGGTCATCTGGCCCAATCTCCTGGCAGTGAACAGGGACAGGTTACTCAGAGTTCTGTCCAACTTGATCTTGAATGTTTCCAGGGATGGGACCTATACAGCCTCTCCGGCAACCTGTTCCAATATCTCACCACCTTAATTTTAAAGATTTTTTTTCCTCGTATGTAGTCTGAACTTACCCTCCTTTGTTTAGATCCATTACTCCATGTCCTTTCTCAACAACTACTAAAATGTTTTAAGTGCTGAAATACAACAATGAGGGATCCTTGGATCCCTCTCATCTGCAGGCTGAACAACCCTAACTTTCTCAGCATTTCCTCAGAAGAAAATCCAGAAGCCTGTCCTCTGCTTGGAACATATAGTGGTTAGCAATGACGAGACTGCACCCTCATGTTCTCCTGAACTCACACAAGCGTCTCCTCTGAAAACTGGCACAAGCAAATGGACCCAGGAAGTGTTTTCCAATGCTTTTCTAACAGTGCTTTGTGACTGTTATTGCAAATTCTTGCTGCTAACTGCAGATGCCTAAAGACCCTGCAGAATAAAAACCTACCACATCTCTTCTGTTTTCAATTGAGCTGGAATGAATTGTTCTAATTCTGGCATTGAAATCAAAACACTCTAAATTACAGTAATTTGTTCCTCTTTGTGAGTCATTGTACACTCTGAGACTACACATTACTCAGGCTTTCAGTAAGGGTCTAATCCTGTGGGCTTCCTCAGCCCAAAGACCTGTTAGGTGAGGTGTGGCTCTGCTGTGTGGGGAGCCCACCCCACAGCCTGGCTCAGAGCACACCACAGGCTCTCTAGCTCCAGACACAGCCAGATCCTCCAGGTCTGTGATGGGGGAAATTCACAGTGTCACCGACATGAGAAAACATCTTTCACTGCTGAGCCGGTGATCTTGATTGCTTGAACAGCTTCTGATTGCTCATGGGAACTCTGCCAGGCAGCAATCTGCTGCAGCAAGGAGGCAGCCCCAAGGGAGAGGGCAACACCTGGAGCATCCATCTCCTGGGAAATAGGGTTTGGTCCCTGCTCTCCCTCCTCTGGCTGCTCCAGGCTGAGCTCCAGCTGTTCTTTCACTTCACTCTGCTGCAGTGGCTTTTAATAGTTTCTTACACTTACTTCCTCACACTCTGGTGGTGAAGAATGCAAGGAGAGGAGGTGCCCTGTTGTTTGAAGCACTCAATGCTTCCTGGGGTGTTCTGGGGCTGTTGGAGGTGATATATTCAGGATTAAGAGGGAGAGTGTATTTCGTTTATGTAGCAATGTTTTGGAAGCGTCTGGACTGCAAGGGTTATCTCTGTCAGGAAAGATCAGGAGCTGACTCAGTAGCAGGCACAGACAGTTCTAAGATACACCTGCTGCTGTCCAACGCTGAGCCCATCACTGCTGCTGAGAGTGCCTCTGTGATAGCACTTTAAAGAAAGGGATAGAAAGGCTGTGCAGCAGTGGGGGCAGAGAGGAGTGAGAAAAGGTGATAGAAACAGCCCTGCAGATGTCAAGATTGGTGAAGAAGGAGGGGGAAGAGGTGCTCCAGGTGCTGGAGCAGAAATTCCCCTGCAGCCAGTGGTGAAGGCTATGGTGATGAAGGCTGTTTCCCTGTAGCACACAGAAGACTATGGTGAAGGAGTTGTCCACCTGCAGGACATCTCCTGGAGGACATCTCCTCCGTGGAGGACCCACGCTGGAGCAGGTCAATATGCCCTGGAGGAAGCTGCAGCCTGCAGAGAGAGTACCACAGGTTTCTTACAGGAATTGTGGCCCATGGAGGACTCACACTGCAGCAGTCCACTCCTGAAGAACTCATCTGACAGAAAGGACCCACTGTGGAGCAGTTGTTGGAGAATATCTCCCTGTTGGAAGGGCCCATGTTGGAGCAGTTAATGAAGAGTTGGATTCTGTGGGAGAAAGCCCATGGTTTCTGTAGGGGAAGGGCAGCAGGAAGGAGTGGCAGAGATGATGTATGATGAACTGACCACAGCCTCCATTCCTCTTTCCCATGAGCCAGTTGGTGGGGAAGCAGGTAGAAGAGCTGGGAGTGAAGTTGAGCCCAAGAAGGATGGAGTGAGGAAAAGTTTTTTGTTAGATTTATTTTTATTTCTCAGTGTCCTACTTTTACAATTAATTTGCAATAAATTACATTAATCTTCCCCAAGCTGAGTCTGTTTTGCCTGTAGCACTAATTCTTGAGTGATCTCCTTGTCCTTATCTCAACCCAAGAGCTTTTCATCTTATTTTCTCCCCTTACTGAGGAGATGGAGTGAGAGTAGCTTGGTGAGCACCTGGCAATTAGCCAAAGTTACAACCACAGGGAGAACTGAAGAAAATCCTATCACTACTATTTTATGAGGAATATGTAATAGTAGCACCTCAAGAAAAAAAAAGTACCTGTAAGGTAATCAAGGCATTCCAACAATTTCTTCTCCCTGGTAAAATCAAGTGCGAAAGTATCAAAAGTATCATTGAGATTAATTTCAGGAATTAGAACCTGGGAGGATGCAGTTGCCATGGAAACCCTGTAATGAAAAGAAAAATGTCTTTTAGTGCTCAAGACACAATGATAAGGTGGACTTGATCAACATGGTTGTTATAACTTCTCGTAAAACTTGATAAAAGCTTATATAGACATTTTATTTATATGGTTTAAGTTACGAACTTCTCCTGCCACTTTTATTTTTGACAGCACGATCTCAAATAATCTTTTCTTTTACTGAGCTTAGGCCTATCATGCAGTACCAGATAAGATTTTAACAAAATATTGGCCAAGCAACTATATCCCTTGAATTCTTTTTTTTAATCAGCCATTGAACCAAAGAAGAAATAGCTCTATAATTAGCTGTGTTTAAAGAATCTTGACAGATGTTGCATCTCTCCCAACCCTTGTTTTCCCAAGCAGTTTCTTGCTCCAGGCATGCCTTGGCACTGCAGTCCCAAGGGTTTTGTGCAGTCCCCACAGCCCCTCAGCTGTTCACCACAGCACGCTGCTGTTAACTTCAAAAGGCACAGGAGGGAGATGAAACAAATAGATGTCAGCATGGTTTATTTTAAAAAGCTTTTCCCTACAAAGCCTGTGTGCATACTTAAATTTCCTCCAAAACTGAAAAGTTTCCTCACCTACATTCACGTTTTCTCTGTCCAGATGTATTAATATAAAGAGATGAACTTTCACAAGAAAAATGCCATCAGGAAGCATTTTCCAGACCATTCAGGCTGGTTTCTTCAAATGCATATTTCTGGAGAGCTGGATACTTGATGTGTTTACAGAAAATTGGACTGGTTTAAGGAGAGAGACCACTAAGCCTTATGCTATACAACAGAAATTGGGCAAATGTTTCAGTTTGGAGATAAACAGATAACTATGCTTTCAATCTATGTCTGTTATCTGTCATTTATGACACATCTGATCAAAATATTTGATTGCTTTAATTTAAAATTTTCCCATATTATTCTTTTTCTGTAGACTGGACTGAAATGACTTCAGGATGAATGCTTATTAAAGACTCTTTTTTCATATATTTTTTGTGCAGTATTTAAGGAAAATACAATAAGCAAAGTAAAAACCAGAGCTGTACACCTCATTGTCTTCAACATTCAACATAGTTTCCAAAAGCTGAGCTGAGGAGGTTTCCTGGTCAATATTCTTGTTATACAGTTCTCAGCATTGTTTCTCTTGCAGCTGTGGGTGTAGAACTTAGTTTAAAGTGGATCCTAGGACAGAATTATTTTTTAATTTTATATCAGCAGACCTTCTTTTTGGACTGTGTTAGGGGATATGCAAAAAGTGCTCTGTATTTAATGTGTTATGGTAAGTTTTTGGTGAGATCAACAGTTCAAAATTTCAGACACCATATCGCCATATTAGGTTCAGAGGATTGAATTTTGCCTTGTAATTCTGCCTACTGTTGACACTGTAAACACTGACACTGTACTTGATTGGAAAGGGTTTTTCTAGGAAAAAATTCATTTCACCCACTGTGAATAATGCACAACTTAATCATCAGAGTGAATGTAATGAGTTTGCTTGTGCAAACAGTTACCTGTTGTGCTTACAACAGAAAATATTTTACTGCAATTACTTTGAAATGTGTGGATGAAGAAATGAAATAAGCATGATTTCAGGAGACTTCTTTAGCTGCTGGAGCTCAGAGCCCTGGTGAGACTGGTACATGAGCAGTCTAAAAGCAAATAAAATGTTGCTCACCACAGGAGAACGAAGAGAGCTACTTGTGAGGAATAATTTATTTATTCTATTTAGCCTCTTTTTCCATTTGCAATTTTGTCTGCAAGCACTTGGCATCTCTTTTATCCTTGGTTTTATTCACTGTTTGGAATGATTCTCTGATGTTCAGGGTGTTACAGCCATCTCATTACAGACAGAAATCTGTGATAGCCAAGAATTAAGTTTGATTGGGCACATATGTCAGCTTGTCTCATTTCTTCTCTCCCAGTGTCTCTCCTGTGAAAATATTGTATTTATGATGCAATTGTTCATGCTTACAATTTCAAAATGGAGCTTCTCTGAATATTCTGTGGTAGGCTGTTAGAAAGCCCTGTGTCTCCACAAGTTTCTGCTACTACTGCTGCTTCTGCTGGATACTGAAAAAAAGGGCAGACCCCTACTTTCAGCTTTTGATACTTGTAGTTTTACTGGCTTCAACTGGGATGACACAACGTTGCTTGATGACAGAATATAAACCACAGTCTGGGAGACAACATAAAACCCACTGTCTTACCTGGCCTTGTCTTTTTTAACTGATTTTCATTTCTCTGAATGTGTAATGGGGCAACCCAGTGTAGCTGGCTTATTTATAAAACATAATTAGCTTTGATGAAGACTGATGCAGTACACCAGAGTAAGGGAAAGACTGAAAAAAAAATCAGTAATAGGAGCAGGGAATTTAATGTTTCGGATTTGTGGAAATTGGCTGGAAAATGTGAAGATATAATGTGAACCCAGAAATAAAAAAAATACTATTAAGAAAAAGCTATTTAAAAAAATGAAAGTAGCATACTTTTGATGTCTTTCTTTGTTGTCCATATTCTCCTTTCTTAAAATTTTTAAAATAATAATAATAAAAAAAAAATCTGATTGCTAAACAGCTGATATTCCAGCAGAATATTTTTTCATCAGAAAATCCTGCTGAAGCTCAGTGGGTATGTTTTCTGATATCATGCTCCTTATCTTTGAGATCCTTGATATATCTAGCATGCTGAAGATGATCCTGAAAGGAGTAGAAATTCCCTGCACCCAGGGGCCCAACACAACAACTGATGTAATTTCCAAACCTCCTGGACAGTTGAATCTCCATCCTTTCAAGATTCATGGTGCAGGTTCACAAAGTTACAAATTTCATTATCTTGTAGCTTTCTATTTTGTGAAGAATATGAATCCATTAAGATCATTCCCAGTTTCTTCTAAGGAACACACTGACTGCCTGATTTCTTTCTCAATCTCAGAATTTTTCATGAAGTAGGATTTCAGCCATAAACCCATTTTTAAAGTGTGTTTAACATCAGACATCTGCTTGTCAACCATTCAAACTCTCACTTGTGCATGTTGCTATTGTTGTAACTCTTAATTTGGACTCTTTTTTGAATGATCCTCTTCTCAAAGGAGTGTTTTGATTTAGCATCACTGTAAATTCCCAATCTGGTAAAGCACAAAGTAGGATTTTGGGGGAATATGTCAACTATCCCCCTGTCTTTGACCACATCTTTCATGTGACAAGGCAGTACAGAACTATGGCAACCCATCTTCCTTCAAATGAGGTTTTTCTTTTTATTGAGAGGAACATCTTTACCTTTCAGTGATATTTTTAGCTGTTTGCAGGAAGCGGGCGTGATCGTTCTCCTTCAGTGACTGCTCAGCCTGAGAGATGAGGGATGTCGAGCGCTCAATGCACTGTTTGCAGTTCGCAATCTGCTGAGCCAGTTTTCTCAGCCTCACCACCTTGAGTGGAAACACAGCAAAGCAGTCATGTCTCTAAGGTCACAAATCATGGCTGGGTTTGCAATTCAGAGGTAAAGCTGGACAAAGGAGGAGTTAAGATGAATGGCTTTGGTGACAAGCTTTGTGGTGAACTCCATCTAGCCATGTAACAGTTTAATAAGGGACAGGCACAGCCTTTCTGCCTGAATATTTTCCACATGGAAAACAACAGGGGAGAGCCAAAACAAGCACAGCTGGCCTATTTTCCAGCAGAAGGAACGTCATTTCCTGATAATTTCTGCTTACATGATAACTAAGGTCTATTTAGATAACCATTTCCCTGAAATTATGAGATCTGTGTTAAAGGCTACTTATAGGATAACTACTTTTGGTTTTTTTTGTATTAATTGAGTTTCATAAAAAGAAAAAAACTGAAAATAAAAGTTAACAGAAAAAGACTGTCCAATTCTGTTAACAATACATGCCTGACCTCATTATGTGCTTTAAGTAAAATAGGGTGTTTTCTTGTTGGATATTTTTAACTGGATAAAAGCACAGTAGTGCTGGAGAGCTGATTATTATTACTGCAAACATATGTGCTGGAGATAAACACAGTAGATGTGACTGTAATCATTAGCAAAAAGGTTAGGGAAGAGCACAGTCCTCCATTTAAAGACAATGTTGGCTAACAAAACTTTCAGGAACTTCAATAGTTCGTGAAAGGTCTGGGAGTCCTTCCCTTTGTTATCACATCAGGATCATAGTTTGAACAGCAGTAAGAAATAGGAAGGAAATTAAATAACTCTGGAGTTTGAAAGGCACATTAAGGCCCAGTTACATGCAAAATGAGGGAACTAACAACCAAGTCAGTTGGCAGACATGTCCAAATTTATAATCAAGATGGCATTCCCAATCTCAGGAATTAGGGCACAGGCTATGAAGTTGCTGATTTGACTTTCAGATATATTTGCATCCTAAGCAGTGATGAGGCTATCTTAGTGCAGCTGACAACAGAAACCAGTAGGAAAATAAACATTTTTCAAAAACTTTCAAAAAAATATACTGGCCAAATTATTTGTGTCACGTGATATTTGTAGCTCTTTAAAGATAGAAACAGCAAAGAGAATAAAATGCTGGAAATACACAGATTTTGGTAATGCTAATGATTTAATCAGCTCCTAGGATGAACTAATGCCACAGCATTTCCTGTAACTGTACATTTGCAGAGATTACAATTCAGTCTACACCAGCCTAACCAGGGAAAGGTTCACTGCAGTGTTAAGAAGTTCATATCTTTATTTGCTAATTAATTAACAAGCAGTGAAGTAAATGTTAACTTATGAGTTTTTTTGCAGTAAAATGCATGTCATGACTTGTGATGTTTATATATGAACTATTTTTCACTTGATTGATTCTTTCTTTTATCTTCAAGAAGAAGATGATAAACTGAAAAAGGAAGAGTCTCATCTCAATTCCCACCCACTTCTGCAATGGTAGGAATGACATCTGCCCTAGGACTATTTCACCTAGTTGATATATTCTTCTTTCCTGTTACATGTTGTGTGGGATTTTATAGGGTTTGGGTGATAGATGAGATTAAGTGTGGAGCTGCCCAGGGTGCTCAGATTTGTGTGTAACTGAAGCTGCAGGCTTGCAGGCACTGCTAGAGCTCAGTATGTGTTTCCAGCTCTGTAGCCACACCAACAGTCCTATAGAGAAATTTGTCATGCTCCACCTTCCAGAAAGACTCTTCCATAGGCCCTCTTAAAGGAAGATACACTGGGCAGAACTTCCTAAGGCTTTTCACATGGGTCTCTTGAGACCTTGAAATCTTTCAACATATATCACATTAGAGTCAAAGCATTCCAGACCTTGACTGGTCCTCCACTGATACAGCCTTCAGCTCAACAAAATTTAACAAAAAATGGGGACAGATTCTGATAATAGCTCTATTCAAATAAATTTGGAGTCAATTGTATTACAAATCTTCCATGCTAATGGAAATTAGAACACATTATTGCAAACAACAGAGTTTTTAAAAGCAATGTGTATATTGCACAAATCCAGATGAATGGTAGGTTTTCTACTTCATTGGTAGCACACCTGGTCTCTCTGCATAGAAGAAAGGAGTTGAAACAAAAATGAAGGCCATTTATTTCATTTGAATGGAATTATATCTTGTTAACAGCATGAGGAAATTCAGATTTTTTCACACAGTGTACAGGACCTGTGGTTTCAAACGTGTTTAAGTTAGCCCTTGCCTACAGACTTTTCATTTCAAGTTAATTGGAATATCTTGACATCCACATGAAGCATTTAAGCTGCTCTTGACTTTATTCCTTTCTGGAACTTTTTCCACATAAGAAGAATGAATATCTGACTTAGTTAATTTAGAAGTTAAACAGTAAACACCTTGGACCTAGAAAATAAAAATATTAATTCAACTCTAATGCATTTCTGAGTTAACAGTTAGGTAGCAAAATATGTTGAAACTTGAGTATCAAAGATCTTTCCTGCTCAATGTGTTTGCTACTAATAATCATGGAACTTTGGGAATAGAAATGCACACCTAATTTAATTTCTTTCACACTTTTGAATTTTTTTTTTTTTTTTGTAGATAATTTAAGACTTCATATTTTCAGGAATGACAATGACTAGAACCAAATTTTTTATTACAGTATTTGAATAAAAAGTTAAAATACCTAGGAAAAAAAAAAAAAAAAGAAGATAATTGTGAGACATTATTCTATTGTGTAAGTATTCCCCCATTCCACTTTGGGGGAAATACTCTCAGGCACATAACAGAGTGAAAGAAACATTAAATGGACATAATTTGTCATTTACCGATCATGACATAATTTCTGGTTTTATCCTTAAAATCCATAATCACCTGTAGTAAGAGAAATACCAAATAAACAGTTGAGGTCTAGAGTACTAGTCTTCAAGGATTTAATTCTTTACATGAAAGTATCACTCAGTAGCCAAGAACTACATAAGGACTTTTATGAATTTCTATCAATAATATTTTCAGTCAAAAAAGCTGCAATCAAAAGGAAACAGTGTTGACCTACTTGTGATGTTAAGAAGAAAAGCTTTTACCTTTCCTTCTTTGATTTTGGTTCCAATTATTTGCCGTCTTTGCTGGATTATTTCAATTAGTTGATCACATTCTTCCATCAGCTTGGTTTCTTGGCGGGATGCATTTACCTATGAAGCAAAACCTTATGATTAGCAAAACCTTTTTTTGACATTTTCTTTTTCCATATTCAAATTTTAAAACTTCATTTTCTAAAATATTTGGTTTGGCAATTTTTTTCCCCTTTCTGTGCATAATCTATGTTATTTTCTGTCCTCTCTTTTGGATTTTGTGAAGTACTGAATTGAGTCTCAATGTATTGTTTGCAGGAGGCAGGACTTGCAAATAGATAATCAGGTGTTTCTAACTCAAGTGAGATGAGTACTCATCTGCTTTGGTGAGTACTGAGTGGTGTCAGCTCTAGCACACACCAGTGAGAAGCAAGGTCTCTTCAGGAGGTGCTCCACACATCACGGTTTGCATCCATACAAAGCTCTGCAGTGAACACCAGAGTGCTGAATGGCACAAGTGCTGGGTCAGAGTCTTTCTGGTGCAGCATCCCCTCTCACTGCTGCTAGTGCCAGCATCTGATGGCAAAGAATGCCAGGAGGAAAGCAGTCCCAACGTGTATGATCACTCCCATGAGTGCTTCATCATCCTCCAACCATTTGTAGCTTGGTCTTCTTGAACCAGACATAATTTATACATCATTACTAATATTCAGAAGACATAAATAGCATGGATTTATTTAGTCTCTCCTTCAAATCCTGGAAACCTTAGGAATCTGCATCATTCTACAGGAAAGAGCACCAAAGCTTGACTCACAGTGAACAACTGGCTCCTTTTAGGAAAATTTGAAACTATCTCTTTCCAGCTGCATTTAATGATCCAAAGTCCTTTTACTGGAAAGGGCAGTGAACTACTGATACCATATATCCACATATAGGTTCCTGAAAGACTGAAGTTATCAAAGATCCATGTGACAATACTGAGATGTGTGTTGACTGTCTTAATTATTCCTACTTTGTCTCAGCAACAAATCAGATAGAAAATAGTGTGCTCATGTAGTTTTCTAAATATATGAGGAAATGAATTTTTTTTAGTGCAAAAGCCCTCACAAATATTAGCTTTCTGTAGAAAGTGCTAACTTTTGTTAAAAAAAGAAAACTTGTAATAGGAAAGTTTGGGTTCTAAGACAAATATGTTTTGTTTCCAAAGGAGACTGTTTTTTTCAGTGCAAAGTCAACATTCTATATGCAACCAGAAGAATTTCCCCTCCAGCAGTTGCATGTTTAGCTTACATATATGTGTAAAGAGTCAGAAAAAAGGTAAAAAGTTCTAATCATGTCTAGAAGAGAAAAAGAAGAAAGAACTTATTTCAGAGCTATGTTTCCATTTGCACTTTGCTAAAAGAGGGTAAGAAGGTAAAACAGCTTTCAGCCCTGGCTAATTGCTTCCACAGCCTTGTCACCTTTTCCACTGGGATAATAAGAGTCAGTGGGGAACAACAACAGGGAATACTTTCAGGTGAGAAGTAACTATTTTGCACCCTTGGTTTTTTTTCAGTCTGATGAGCCTCATGATTCTGCATCAGTATTCTTTTCTTTCCTTCCAACAATGTGTTTAAACATGCACTTACCTGTAAGCACATTATGGTGCTCATTAAACTTAAGCAAATGCCTATGTATCTAAATTTGGACCAGAACCAATTTTACAAATAACCTTCTTATGTGAAATACATAGTATCCTCCAGGCAAAGAGAGGACTTGTTTATAAAGACCTGCTTTCATCAGGGTTTTGGATCATCTTTCTGAAATCTTCATAAAATTAAAGTTTGTTTGCACATTTTAGAGGCCTAATTATTAATAAAGACATCAAGATTATAAAGAGAGAATACATTTGTTTCTGGAAGGGGTCATATGTGACCTCAAGTGCTGGTTAAGATGTAGAAGATATTCCTATTATGCTGGTTTAGGTGCCCATGGTTCTCCTTACATTTACTGTTTGCTCTGCCTGGCTTCTCACCACAGTCCATGAGGACAGACAGTACAAAACAGCCCACCCAAGCCTCTAGCAGCGCCACTGTCTCTCCACTGAGAGCTCAGGTAACCTAGAAAAGTTAGTTAATCTGCACTGTCCCTCCTATTCCCTTTGCTCCTCTTGTCCCAGTCCCTCAGCTGCATCATGGATCTTACTTTGGCATGCAACTGTGCGGAGCTGCCTTCAACAAGCTGCACCATGCACTGGTTTCACAGCCCTGATTTCAGTTTCACTGCTGGACTGAAATTCCACCGAGGAGCAGGGAAGCCTCCCCAGGCTCAGCCGGGGCAGTGATCACACCCAGTGCATGTGGGCACAGCTCCTGTGTCAACAGCAAGGTCAGCTCACTCCACAGCCAACTTCAGCACTTAATTACAGTAACACTTTTGGCACTTAATTATGGGAACACTTGACAGGATTTTTGAGTAGCTTCCACTCAAAGTGTTACTTCTAGCACCACTTACATCACCAATTTGCTTTGTCAAGAAACCTAATTAATTTTTGGGATAACTGTCATGAAACGTAAAGTTACAGGAAGGTTAAGTCAACATTGTTTCATTTAATACTCTGATTGATTTGAATAATAATGTATTAATTGGATCTTAACCTAAAAAGCTTTAGACTAAGAAAAAACAAAATGCTTGGAAAAAAATCTCTGTATTTCTTAATGCACTGACTGCAGACTTCTCTTTTTCTTTGAAATCTGAAAAGTATGCTCTTTTTAAAACACCATTTGAAGACATTTCCAACTTTATAGCTTGGACAAGCTTATTAAAAATGAAAATAATATTCTAAAATTATATGATACGTCTGAGCTTTATATGAAAAAATCCCTCAACATTTAATCTAGGGGCTTTTCTCAAGCTGAAATACTCCTTAATCATATTTTCAGCCTGCAAAGCCTCTGATTCAATAATAACTTTATAATTGAGCACATGCCTAATTTTAAGTGCACTACATTAGCTGTGGCCGTAAAGGGACTATTTGTGAGATTACCATCAAATATTATTTACTTTTATGTTCCCGAGGAGTCATATGTCAGACCAAAGAGCTATGCGTGTGGAGCAGGGCTCCATGTACAGGTGCTACAAAAATAACAGAATAAGGCTTTTCCTTCTTCTTGAGTCGTTTGACGAACAGCGACCTTGACAATAACTTCCAGCTGGGCTGGCCAACGAATGTGAGTTCTGTCTGGTGAAAATATTTGAGGTTTTACATTCTACATTTTTTCCACATTAAAAAACAAGCCCTCTTTCCAAGGAGTTTGTTACAAGAGACTGATAGCTGCCTTATAAAGTCTGGTGACTGTGTCACACACTTCGTGAAAGTCTCCAAATCACAGAGAAAGCTGATTCAGTCTGGGCTCCCTCCACTTAAGATGAAGGTTGATTCTTTAATCTGAGGTATCTATTTTCTGAGAATTTGTGCTAGACTTGGTGACATATCTCTATGGAAAATTTCACTACTAATACAATTAATTTTGGCATCCACCGGTTCCCTAAACATGTTCAGAAATACTTTGAACCTAAAGCTTTCTGCTTTACTGGTATCATTTTTATACATTTTTTTTTCCATGCCAGAGTTAAAATTGAGTAGGAGGCCTTATGATTTAGCAAGAACTATGACATCTACAAAGAAGAAGAAGGACAGATTCTAGTTCTCCTGCTTTTGTGGGGAATGTATTCCCATTTCTGTAACACACACAGACCTCAAATAGTTTACTGAAAAAATCCAACAACCTTACAAATTCCAGGTTTCTTTCCAGGTTTTCCAGATGTATGGATAGGGACTGTTGCCCTTTGCCTCAGGAAGTAGGTGTAGTTTAAAAAAGAAGAGAAATAGGGGATCCTCAGATGTCTGTCAGGGAGCTGGAAACAACAAGCCCTCTCAGCCCAAAGGGGAGAGCAGGCCAGCTGTTTCCAGCTCCACAAGCTGAGAACTGATTTGGAAAGTGTTCTGCTCCTTGTGGAGGCTTCCTAGGCTTTCATCTTCCGAGGCCTCAGTTAAATTGCAGCTTAGCTTGTAAGAAAATGAATTTGGTGGTTTCAAAGTCCCCAGCAGATGTTTGAGAAATCACAAAACTACAGAACAGCCAGAGATTTGAGGTTACAGTGGAGCTTCTATGGTTAATTTAAAGGCAAACAGAATCAGAGGACTGGATTCATACCCATGAAAACTTCCTCAACTAATATACTGAAAAAGGATGTTTTTAGTGTCTCAGAAGACTTCCCTTGCAATAGCAAAACTCTTCCTCTCAGATTCCTTGTAGGTAAGGCAATTCTCTCCACAAGTGGAAATCTTCATGTGTCTTTTTGGCAAACAGTCTCTGAATGACAAGCAATTAAGACTTAAATTAGAGGGGATCTGTTTTTTTAAGGCTATGCTCTCTGTGATAAATTCATCAAAAGCAGAGCAATTCTTATTTCCTAGTCATCAGTTGATTATGCAAAATGGAAGAAAGTAGGTTGTAGAAAGAGTCTGCTCTTTGAAAATTGAGGTATGAATTTGAGTTTCAGCTTCATGATTTAAAAATGGTTTCAATTTCTTAAAAAAATAAATTCTTTGCAGCTGTGGCTCTACAGGTAAAAAAGAGGTATGAATTTTTCTTTGTGTTTGAGTTGATAGTTATAAAATGAAAATATACTATGGCTATAGAATGACTGTATACTCAAAACAATTACTGTATACTCAAAAGAAGACAAAAATATCAGAAAAATAAATTGAATGATTCCACTCAGAACCTGTTGCATCATTGCCACATTTTTCACTTTAGATTTGAGCCTGAATTTCTTCTTGCACCCAACCCAGAAACTGAGATTTAAAAACTCTAACATTTTTACATATAATGGCTCATACCTATTTGCTCTAGGAAAACTTCATTGTCATGTAAATGTGGAACACATTTTTTTGGATTAGAATGCTTAGATGAATTAAAGGATTATACTCTTCTAAAGAGAGAGGCCTGTTTATTTTACTCCGTGTTGTAAAGTGAGTAACTTTTCTTCATAGAGCCAGAGTACATTGAAGTATTAACATCATCCATATGTAATTTATTTATTTAATGGAAATACAAAGGATAATCATTAATGCA